AAAAAAAAAAAAAAAAAAAACTTAGTAAAACCAATCTTTTCAGCTTCGCATCGAAGCTAAAAATTAATTTTTTTTTTTACCGCCCTTAATTTTATTTATAGTATCACGATAATAGTTTAATATAATTATTTAAATAGTTAAAATGTTCAGAATCTAAATTTACTATAGCATTTTCAAAAAATACATAGGTCTGTACTCTTTTTTGTACCAAATTTGACTATACTAAGAGACTGAAAAAAAGATGCTGTTATTATGATTTTTTTCGCATTTATAGTGATTATGTCAACTAAAAGTATTGTGATAAACATACTATAGTAATTTTTAATCTCCATAACATTTTCTATCATTATAATAAGTAATAAAATAAATATGAGTAAAAAAAAGTTATATAGAACAAATCAGCTTTACCTTTTTTAAAAATGCTGTAAAAATCAACTTTAATAGTCCTTATCAAAACTGAACTTCACAGAATAATTTAAACATTTGTACAATCTATCATCATACTTTAAATAACATTAAGGGGTAATAAAAAATTATAATTTTTTTTTTAATCAACAATTTAATGTCAAGAAACCATTATTTTACAAATATTCAAATTATAGTTAAAATATTGATGATAGAGTAAAACTTAAGCCATATTTGGAGTCAACATCAAAAAATCTATCAGAAACAATATAAAAAATTTCATATCATTCCATGACTCAAATTTTCTTGAGCTGTGTAATTAATTTATGTTTCAATTATAACCCACATAAATATAGACATTGTTGAATGTATAAGTACTTAGTTCTTTATTTTATACTATCATATAATCTCAAGAGTTTATAATTAATTACTTGCTATCAAATATAGAATAAAAATATGTTTTACTAAAGAAATACCAACCTCTAAAAGTTTACACAAATGTTCATCTTCTAATAGTGGTAAAACAGTTTGGGGTGATGCTGGAAGTGCTTCGTGGATACACTGGATGTCATCTAAAGAACTTAGAATTACTCCAACAGCTACAAAAAGTAAGAAATAAGTTTATTTTTAAAATTAATTTGATGAATATTGTGAGTCTTTAATAATTTTCTAGCATTCTTAAAAAAATCATTTTTCAATTTTAAAAAAACTATTAATTCTATAAAACCATATTTTTCCCAAAACATACTTCATTTGATTTAGGAAACTTTTTATAACAGCTCAACTAAAAATTTTAAGTCTACAAGACGTACTTTTTAGATCTTATAAAGATATTGAAAAAAAATTTTCAAGTAGATTTAAAATTGGTATTTTTCTATGTAAACTGTATGTCATACTTTTACAAAAATATCCTTCAACTTTATAATAAAGAGAAACTTCCTAACAGTTACAATTATTATAATTACAGTCAATGTTGATATTATTAGTTTTTATTTTTTATTGAAATTATTTTTTGAAAACTGAAAAATCATTTGAAACTTCTATTGTCAATATTTTAAACATTAACCAAGCTGACGATATACTTTTTTGAAGATTAAATAAATTTTTTTCTTTTCAATTTTTTATAATGTTTCAAAAAATTTGACTTCTTGGAACTTACATAAAAATAAAACTAATACAATGCATTTTAAAATAAAAAAAAACTTTATTTATATTAGCAACAATATTAGGTCAAAATGTCTTTTTGTAGTTTTTTTGCATTGAAACATAGTGCCTGCATTATTTTAAATATTCAATTAATGCTTAGTATAGTCATGAAGTATTTTAGTGTACTACATGATTTAAAAAAGGAAAACATCCTGGTGATTTGTTCTTTATAAATAATTAGCCTCTTCAATAAAAAATTAAGTAATTTTTAGTGAATATGATCATTTTTTCAAATACATATAAAAGTCTTTTATGATAGTTATTTTAATCACTGTCAAATAACAATCAATACCAATCAAGAATAAATATTCCAACTTCACTATGTTGAATTGTGACAGTACTAAAGTTTTAAAAATCTACTATTATTTGCTCAATAATAATAATTTATAATAATACATCAATATTAAACAATAAAAATAACATCATTTAATTAAAAAAAAAAAACCAATTATTAGTTAAGTTTACTTACTATTTGATAATTACTATAGATTATTATTATTAAAGAAACGATAGATTATTTATTTGAAATATTGGGTATTTTGAAATGAAAACCTGACAATTAATATATTTTATTTAATAAATAATAACCTGAATTGGTAATATCGTCATCGCCAAAATCTGAAAACTGATCAATAGCATTTGAATTTGAATCTAGAGAAGACTGATAAGTCCAACGAGCTGATGATACTGCTGCCATAACAGCACCACGTAAACGTCTACGACTATTATATATTTTTAACTGCTCAACAGTTTCAACCAAATGTATTTTAGGAGCATTCTTGTCTCTTTCCTAAAATAAATAAAATTAAAATGCGTAAAATTATTTCAATAAATTAAAAATGTTACTCTAAGCCAACGGTGATTTAAGACATCTTGTATAGTAACTCGTTTTTTTGGATCCAAACAAAGCATTTTGCATACTAAGTCCTTAGCAGCTTCACTGATTGGTTTCCACTGGGATCTATTAAACTGTACACAAAGATTTTATAGATGAACATACATTAAATGAGGCTACAACTTATACTAACATTTAATTTAGCTTTGCATATATTGTTATAGAGACGTTCTCCAGTTCCAAGAAATGGTGTTAGACCAGTCAACAATATATGTAAAATAACTCCTGCAGACCAAACATCACCTGGTTTTCCATATTGTTGTCTATCAACAACTTCAGGTGCCATAAAATGTGGTGTTCCAATACGTCCTATAAATATATATTAAATTATAATAAAAACTTTAAGCATTAATTTATTTTAATTTTTATGAGATAGCTTTTTTTTTAGTTAGTAAAAAAAACATAAAAAAGAAGCAAAATGTGAAATTAAGATATTTAAATCATCATGCAAAAAATTAAAAAATATATAACCAGATCCACTGTAGAAAAAAAAGTATTAAATAAAAATATGAGATATGTACTACAGGCAAAACAATTTTTACAAAATAAATTATAAATTAAGTTGAATTAAATATTTTATAAATAAACACAAACTAAAATAAATAAAGTAAAAAAAAATTTGATAAATAATAGCTTAGCTCAGTTTTAATTAGATAATAGTTCATTAGTGTAGGTTCAAATGATCTATTAACCAAAATTTGTTTATTTTTTTTTCCATATAATTGATTGTTACAATAATAGAACTTTTAGAGTAAAAACATGTAATTTTATTTTAAATACATCTAATGTTACACGGTTCAAAAAGAAATTTAACAAATATACATGAATAACATTTTTTTCAAAGAATATTTTATTTTTATTTGGTTGATACGTTCCTCTGATCCTACACTGATTATATTAAAATTACCCCGCTGGTACATCATCTCTGAGTTTATTATTATTATTAATATTATTTAAATATAATCTTTCACAATTATGCTACAGCAGTACATGCAGTAAGCAATATCTTAAGATAATATTCATGTAAAAGAGTTGCACACAAAATTATCATTTTGATGATCTTTCCAAATTTTTTAAAGCTGTAGAAAACTAAAATGATATTGTCATATATAATAGTGTATAACATACTTAATAACAATACATGTTATAGTATTCAAATTATTATTTCACTCATAGGTAGGCCATTTTTTATTTCAGCGACACAAGTATACCGACATAAAGATAGAGAAGTATTTAGTTAAACATATAAAATCGAAAATTTTAACACAAGAATAATATATTTTTGAATACTGTAACCATTTAAATAGATTCTTAAATTACAGAAATGATTTTTTTTTTTTATATAAATATAATAGCTATGTATACTATTATATATAATAGTATGTTATTTCAAAGAAAAATGTTGTATGTAATAATAAAGTCTATTAATTACTATATTGAAATAGTCTTTATATTATTATTTATAATTTTTCTTTAATTAAAATTAGTTTAATTTTAACATCTAATCTCAACTATGGATTAATTGATAATTTTTTAAAAAAATATAAAAGGAACTTAAAATAAAAAAAAGAAACAGATTATACATATGAGCACAAAAAATATAAATTATAGTGGTCAAAAAACAAATTAAAATCCATAATGTAGAAAAAATTACATACAGACTATATATTATAAATTTTTTATGTCATTTTAAAAATTACTAATTAATCTATAGTTTAGAAAGACGTTAAAAGTAAGCTAATTTAATTGAAACATACATTATATATGATAATTTAAAGACTTTTTCAATAAATAATTGGTTAAAACTTGATTATAATCAGATACAATATCTAAACAATTCCCTTTAAAATAGCATAATTATTAAATTTATGAAAAAAAAAAAAAATTAATTCTACAATTTTAGAATGTATTCAAATCAACTATTAATAAAAACAACTCATGATTGAAAAAAAAATACAATACTTTTAACATGAAAGTAATTATAAAAAATACAGGACTTGGAAATTAAAAATATCAGCAATTTATATAAATTATGCTATTAAAATCCTTAATTGAAGCCAGTAATTAATAGTTATAATCAGGACTCATAGCTTCTAGCATTTTTATATATCTTTTGAAAGGTCCTAGAAATATCTGTAAACTGTAAAATTTTTTTAGAAAACCATTAAGCTAAATATGAAATTTAATATTACATGTGAATAGATGCAAAAAAATATATGTATACTACGTTTATTCATTATCGATACTTATAAGTATTATGAATTTTCATATCTTTTAAAAATTGATATATGTTTTATTTTATTATAAGTGTAGGATTTATAAAGTATTGAACTAAAATTAGTATAAATGTTTTTTCAAATTTGATTTTTTTGCATATTTTAGCCTTATTATTGCTATAAATTATGAGTCCCAGTAATGATACAACCATTATTTAATATAAATTTATAATATGAGGGATATTGTATATAAATTTGCAACAAATTTTAAGAGAACATTAATTCATCATTTCATTTAATAACTTATGATATGATATCAAATCATAAATAGCATAAATTAGTTTAGTCCAGCACCAGTGACAAATTTGCTCGCCAATAACAGGCTCTTACCCTCTCTATCTGATTGCAAATACACCTGTCCATTGGCACTCAAATTGGGTCGAGATAAATCATCAAAACTTTTTGCTTAAAACAAATGGTTGCAATAATAAATAAAACAAAACCAAAAATATACAAATATTAATTATAGTAATAATAATTGATAAGTACCACCATTGATAGATACACCATCATGTAGCTGAATTGCAACACCAAATCCACCTAATTTGACTGGTGCTGAATTTTCTTTAGTGGCCAATAAAACACAGTGTGGTTTTATATCTCTATGAATTATATCATTGTCATGACAATATCTAATTGCCTCTAGAGTTTGTCTCATATAATGACTGTAAAATTAATGTTTTTCTTATCACTTTTTGAGAAATATTTTTAAGTGAGTGTAAAACAATATTGGTATCACATTATTGATATTATATTTAATTTACAAAACTTTTCACTTAATGTAACAATCAAGCTTTAGTTCATTGCATACTATCATTAATAAATATTTATGTAGACGTGTATATTTCATAGAAAATAATGATTAATTTATACTGTAGTATAATCATTCTGAACCTTAGAAAATTAATCTCTTGTAGGATATTTTATTTTTAGCCATGTTTACAAAAGACACAATTTTATATTAACCATAAGTTAGCTACTCCCAGTTTAGAAACACTGCTTTAGTACACATAATATGACAAAAATAAACACTAATTTATATCATCATCGTTTCCTTAGCCTCTATCACAATTATTTGGGGTCAACTTTACCTTGACAGGATTTTTACACTATCTATTATCCTGACACAACCTTTTATGGGCAATAAAGGGCATATGCCATTGTTAGAGTTCCCGTATGGCCACCCATCCATGAACATAATACAGTGCAGCTGAACATCAGCACTAAGCAGTAACTGAATGCTTCATAATACGCTCTATACTTAATGTGAAATTCAAATATCAATACAATTATTATTATTTTGAAAAGTAATTTTTGTTACGCTTTGTTAGATATTTATGAATTTAATACAAATTCTCTTTTAAAAGAAATTATAGAATTATCATTGTAATTAATTTATCAATAATTAGATAATTATTCATCTGATAAATTAACATTTTAAATTTTGATGTAATTTTTTTACATACCTGGCTACAGCTTCACTATACACAAATCCAGCTGTTGCTCTACGTACTATCTCGAAACATATGTCAGATCCATCCATACTATAAACAGAAAAAGTTTTTATTACAGTTATTTTAGAACATTTCAAGTCAAAAAAGTAAAGGTAATTGCTCATAAAAGGTGCATTATATATATATATGATAAAAGATAAAATATTGATACATTTTTTTTAATTAATTTAATTAAACCTTTTAAATGTGTCAAAAATAAAATAAAATTTAAATTGAATCAATATAAACAAATGCTTACCATAAAAAATTGTTTAAAAAAATTTCAACTTAAAAGACAAATTAAATAAATTTCTTACTATTCAAAAACCATATACAACATTCCTTCTGAACTATAGGTCTCTAATAGTTCTACAATATGAGGATGTTTCAACATATGGCATATAGTTGCTTCTCGTTTTAAATCTGAGGATTATAAAGTTATAAAATAAATAAAAATTTTAGATTGTCTGAAAGCTGTATAATTTACCTGAAGTACTTAATCCTGGGCTTGATGTAAAACTTGCAACATCGACAATTTTTACAGCAAATTGCTGACCAGTTTGACGATGAACACATCTTTTCACTAAGCTAAATGGACCTCTAAAAATAATTTGATAAATTCTTAAATAAAGATCATGAATGACTAGATGACTAATATAAGCTAATATAGTTTTATTCAATATTCTTAAATTTTGAAAAATTGTTTTATTATTTCAAAGTATAAAATAATAGTAATATATTTATATTTGGTTACAAATTTAAACTAATATTCAGCAGAATTTAGAAGATTTAGAAAATTTTATCACAAAAATTTCATCAGCAATAGATGATCAATGACTATCCAAGGGATAGTGTCAAAAGCAGGAATACATGCTGTTCATTGATTGTCATATTAGCTAGAAGGCTTATATTGAGCTATATGAGTGAATGCCCAACAAGAACAAGGTACAATAATGTGGTAATGATAAACTTAACCTTTCCATAATCTTTTACCAAAAGATCTATAATTTTTTCAGATTGATTTTTATATAAAAAAAAAAACAAACAAATTTTTTTATTGCATAAATTTTTAATGTTACAATGCTTAATATATACTTAAGAAACTTTTTTTTTGCAATTTCTTTTATACAAACAATTAGATAAATACTTGAGTATTAATTTATGTATAAAAATAGAAATTGTAAATTCAAAATAAATGTTAGATGAGTAATTCAATTTATAGATAATATATTAAACAAGAGTGGATTGAACTCATATCAATTAGGGTTTTGTAAATGTTTTTGCTAGCAGACATCAATTTATAGGTTTATATATATATATATATATATAACATTCTGTTTTATAAGCTACTGTTTTTGTTGAAAAAAAAAACCAAGGAAACCTGTATAGCTTAACAGAATAAAATCGAACACAAGTACTTGCACTTTGTGGCACATTGTGTTCACTACATACCTATGTAGTTAAGTAAAGCTACTGGCTTTATTTTTAAATTTATTTATTTTTCTAGATTTTACTTACCTATTTAAATATAAAAATTACATTTTCAGATCTAATATTACCATAAAATTTCTAAACAGAGAATGTTTGAATATAACCATTAGAAGTATAAAATGGTAAATAGCGTATTAATTATTCAAAATCTCAATTAAGTTTTGATTATATGTTAAATAATGTTGCAACCCTAATGGCTACTATTATATTAAACACATTGACTTCTTTAGAATAAAGTTCTTCATTTTAGATAAATAATTAAGAAAATGGGAATCAATATTTTTTACAAACAATCTATTTAATTAAAAAATTGTTCACTTAAAGTTATCTGAAATGTTATTAAAACTAACAAATAGATTGAGCAAACTATAATTTTTTACAACAATAAATTATTTGTTAATAGTCATCTCAGTTTACAGAATACCATTAAATTTAATTATGCCACTTAGTCATTCTTCAATAAAAATCATTAATAAAACTATTTTTTATTATAATTACACTTTAAAATATAAGTATGCTAATTTGAAAAATATTAATTAAAATTGAACCCAAACTAATTGTATACTAAAAAAGTAAAGTTAACACTATAATTTTAAATTTTTGCAAAATATAGATTTTAATTTTACTTGAAGTAAATTTCCAAAACTTATTATTCTATCAAATTTGATGAGTAAGATCATAATATAGGTAATAATTATTTTAGAAATGAGATATCTAATATTTGATAATTTTTTAAAAATTTTAATTTCAAATCAATAAACCACACTAACTTTCATATACTGATAAAGCCATATATTTTGAATTGAAAGTCATCCTATGGTAAATGTTTACATATTTGATTAAAATAAACAATATTTTGTACATTAAATTAACTATCTGCTAACTTTATGATTTACAATGCATCTACAACTTCATTTATTATGGATAAAGGGAAAAACTTACTTTCCAATAGTTTCCAGCAATTCATATACATCATCAAAGAGAACTTCTTCGTCTGCCATCATTTAAATGAAAGAACAGTTCATTGCAATATTACATACTGATAATATTAAATAATAGACAAAATAAATGAAAATGCCATTCAGTTTTCAAGAGTTTTAGTGAAGAAAGGTATTACAAAATTGAATATGTCTAAGGGGAACTTTAAGTCTGGAATCTAGGTTTATAAGTTCGGATAAATGACACTACGAGTTATAAGGAAAAAGAAGATATATTAAATGTGAATATCTACTGAAGGACGCTTCTAAACTTAATAGTTAAAAGAAATGAGGCTGTGGTCACCGTCCTGCCTCATTATCTTTTAAGGAAAAAACTGGAGACGAAATTGCCACTAGTCTGCGTTTGCTGCTGCTGCTGGTTGCTACCTGCTGGTGCTTCTTACGAATTGCGTCCCCGCCCTACTGAACTTTTGTCGTTTCTATGGGCAACGAATCTCGCGCCTACGACTGCCGGTGAACCGCGGCCAACTTCATATTACTCACCGCTTTTTATTGTACTGATAAGATAACAATTTTATAATAGCTACAAAAAATAAATATGTGAGATAACTACACAGATTTTACTATATTAAATAAATACTTGTGTCAAGTTAGAATAAGATCATTGACTTTTGTTATTTGACCAACATCTCTATGTGTATTAAAAAGTGTAAATGTGATCAAATACAATATCCAATTAACAATAAATTATAAATAAAATTCTCATATATGTAAGTATAAATTATTTAAAATCTAAAAAATTAAAACATTTATTATGTTTACAAACCACTTTTTTATGGTAATTGATATTATTATATATAAATAAGAAATAACAATATGTAATGATTCTGGTAGAATTTCTATAACCTTTATGCAATAATTTAACCATTTAAAATTGTATTTAAGGGCGGATCCACCTGTAACTATGCAATCTAATGACTCATTTGAACTTCATTCTACAAAATCAATAAATAAAAATGAATTGTAAGTAAAATAATATTATTATTTATAACTAAGTTTAAACATATGGGATATTATTTAAGCATGTAGACTAAACATATCTAGGTTCCATTTATTCGTTGTAACTTGATGATGAAAAAGCATATACATACTAACATTAAAAAATACTACACATGTTCAAATGACATTTTTTTTTTTAAATTAAAAAAAACGAATCAGATATTATTTAGCAATTCAATTTATAAAATATAATACAACAAAATTGAAGATAAAAATCTGATACACTTATGATATTGTAATAACTAAGAATAAATCTTTATAAAACATTAAATAAAACTAATAAAAGAAACATTAAAGTATTAAATCCAGAAATGTTAAGAAATAATTGATTTTTTATGTGAATATGTATCAACTATCAATCCAAATTTTTTTTTTTTTGCAATTAAAAGAATATTAATGAGCATACAATTTATTTTTCATTAATTTTTTCAATATAATTTCTTTCATAAATAATTATACTTGTGATTGTTTTAAGAACTAATTAACTGACATATATTGAACAGTATATGAGGTTGAAATTTGCATAAAAATGATTAACATTCTAATATTTATTAGTAAGTAGTGTAAATTTAAAAAGATTTGTTAGGCTTAATTACCTATAGTAGGCCATTTATTATTAAACAATATTTTTTATAGTTTTAAAACACAAGTGAGTAGTAAAACATAAGTGAGTTAAATTTTATTTTTATTCTATATTATCACTAAATATTGGGTATGCAGAAATAAGAAGGGGAAAAAAGAATGTGAGAAACACAAGTAGACATATAAGTGAGTTAAATTTTATTTGTATTTTATATTATCACTAAATATTGGCTATGCAGAAATAAGAAGGGGACAAAAGAATGTGTGAAATGTAATTTTTCCATTAAGAATAAGTGAAAGTATCTTAATCTAGTTTTTGCTCTTGCCACTCTTCAAGGTCTGTAGTTTTATGAATTGTATATAATTTAGTTTCATGAAACTAAATTAATGAATCAGAAAAATTAGAATGTTAATATGAATATTGTATAGTTTAACATTTAAATATATTTATTAACTTCATCAAATAATTACTATTCTAAATAAAGGTAAATAAGAGTATTTTTTAATGATCATATTTTCATTGAAATTAAATTGAAAAAAAAAATGTAATTTATAAGTTAATTTAAAGAAAATTTTCTAATTACAATACATAATTTTCCTACTATTATAGTGTCTTAGGTTAAGTCTTAAGTATTTAAGTGAACAATTAAATATAGTGTATTCAATAAGTAAGGAAAAAGTTTTTATTGATCCAATTGTTCTAACAATTAATCTGTTTCCCTAATTATTGAACACTCTGTATACTGTATATTATAATAAGTGGGTTTAAAATTAAAATTGAGTGATAAGTTTATTATGTATTATGTTATAAAATAAATATTGTTGTTATAATTTTTTTTAATTAGATTAAATCAAATATAAATATTTCTATTTTTCAAAAATATGCTTAATATTCAAAATACTAAACTATACTACAATTATATAATAAAATATTATATAATTATTAAAATTATATACTACAATTCTTTAAAATTACTTTTTCTTTAATAAAATCTGATAAATCAAAGGCCTTGAATAGAGGTGTTTTCTTTAAAATAAAAATAATTGAATGTAATTAAATTATTTTTTGAAGTACTCATAGCTTCCTAGTGTGTAATAATGTATATGCCTATATATGTATGCAAATAAAATTAAAATAAATATGAGATGGTTTTTTTTATTGATTTAAATTTTGAAAAGTTTTCAAGAATTTATCAAATATAAAAAATGTTTTTACGTATAATATATTCCTTGGGTCAACTTTAGAAAACGTGTAGAAAATAAAAGTATGTTGAAAATATGATAGAAAAATTTTTCTTTTTTTGTAGATAAGACTTCCTTGATCCAAGGTACAGATAAATATATATAGGGTGATTCTTTTAACACTAGACACTCAATTTCTCTTAAAATAATAAGTTTTTGATGTTTTTATTTAGGGGGGGGGGGTTTATTAGTTACACATGTATCTTAATTTATTTGTTATAAAATATTTTTTTAGATCTATCCCTTATGTCTAGTATCAACTTTTTTTTTCAAATGGCAACATACATAATTAACTAACTTATTAGAAAATTACTGATCAATAACAACTTTTGATCTAATACTTTGGAAGTTATTAGTACTTTAAAGTATATACTGCAGGTAAAGTAAGGATGTTGCTAATATTATCATTAGTCATCTCCTCTTCTTGCCAAGGTGAACATTTATGAATATCTTCAGTGTATATTTATTATTAATTGTCATTAATAAAAAAAATTAAAAATGAATTTTTTTTTTTAATTTTAAAATAGCCGTTTTTAGCATGTTTTCGCAAAAATTATGAATAGGTTGATAAAAATTTTAAGACAAATAACTATTGAGTTATAAGCAATTTAATATGTTAATGGGTATAAAAATGTTAAAATTAAGCTGGTCAAATATTTTGTAAGAAAAGCTCTATTTTAATATTTTGAAAAAGCTAAACATTTTAAAAATTCTTTTTTTTATTTTGTATTATTAAAATATGTGAATTTAAAAGACAATAAATGAAAAAATTGTTTAAAAAGATAATTACAGCAAATGTAAATTTATAATTGATAGATGTTGTCAACTAAATTTGTTCTACTATCTCTACATGGTTCATCAAAATTTAATTTTGAATTAATTTAAAACCAGCTTTTTTGATGAAATACAAATAATATTGATGATTTTTTTATTGGATTCTCATGGTTCCATGTTTTTCTTAATTTATCAATCATATACATTATTATATGAATATTTTTTTATTATTTATTTGTTAAATAAATTTTATTTTTACCACATCTAATTGTTTTAATCATAGTAGACTAAATTCAAAATAGAAATTTATTTATAGATTAAAATGAGTGATAAAGTTTTATCTCCAATCATTCTGTTTATTGCTTGATATTACTAATTTGTTTTTCATTCTTATTATTTTTTATCTCATTATTTAAAGTATTAAGGTTATCCAATCTGATTATAACTACATATTATTATGTTTTAGGTCTAATGTATTAAGTAATTAATAAAAACTTACTTTAGTACTAGATTTTATATTAATTAAGAAGTTTGTGTAAATCTCTACTTATAAAATGGCTTATTCTTTATTAATTAATCATGATGTTGACACTGATATCTTTTCTTGGTATTTTTTAAAATTCTAAACAACTTAATGAAATATATCATGTTTTTTATTATTTTAGTTTATCATCTAACAACAAATCAATCAAATCAACCCAAGATGAAAATCATCAATTATTAATTTTAACTGTACACTCAAAAGTATCCGAAATTAATAATGTAGTTCAAAATGTTCCAGATGTGATAAAAGTTTGTAATCTCAACTTATTATGATAATTGGAATTTTTAAATTCCAGTTGTTTAAATTATTTTTTTAATTTCAGAGTTTTGTCATCAGTGATAAATATTTACTTATAACTTACAACAGAAAATTGACTAATTCATTAAAAATTATTGAATCTATAAAAAAGATGGGGTTTTTAGTGTCTTTTGAACCGGAAAAACAAACAGTAGCCATCATACCAATAGAAGGCATGAAATGTAACTCTTGTGTTCGTAAAATTGAAAATCATGTTTTAGAAAAAAATGGTGTTATTAATATTAAAGTATGTTTATTTATTTACAAAAAAGTATATCATCTAAAATTTTATTATCATTCTATATTTTGTTATCTAGGTCAACCTTGAAGAAAAATGTGCTCATATTTTGTATGATTTAAATACAGTTACGGTTTTTGAATTACAATCATTTATATCTGAACTAGGATTCACTGTACCAATTCATCCTACAACAACAATAGTACAAATTAATGGGATGTCATGCATGAGCTGTGTGAGAAATATTGAAGGTATGTATATTAATGTAAAACTATATATATCGTCATCTAAGAACTATCACAGCTAATCTCAAAAAATCAAATTTAAATTTCATTATATTATAAAAATATATAAATTTGATTTTTTATGATTGATCATGATGGTTTTTAGATGACAATATATAATTTCTTCTATCGGGTATTAAATGAAGTTTGTGCTATTTCAATAGACAAATTGAAATAAAAATTATTTTTTAATTGTAAATATTATTTTATAATCATTTTAATGTATTATTTTTTTAATTTTACATTTTAACCATAAAAACTTTTGAAGAAATTAGAATTCATCATTGAATTTTAGCTGCCAAAAATGTCTTACTTAAAATCTTATAATCAAATTAACTAACTATGTTTAAAACTATACAAATTAATTATTTATTTACTATTACATCATAGACCAAAATTTTAGTTTACAATTAAACAGTTTCAATACCAAATATACATATATATTTATACATTAATAATAATATTATTTAGGTAAAATTGGAGTATTAAATGGAGTTAACTCAATATCTGTCAGTTTAGAACAGAAATCAGCTACTATTACTCATCACCCTGCTGTTATTAGTGCATCTGATTTAGTAGCTGCTATTACAACTATAAACTCAAAATTTAAAGTTTCATTAAAAGATCAAAAAATAGATGAACCAAATAATTTGTATATTACATGTATACCTGAAGATGAATATAGTAAAGCATATTTAAGTATTAAAGGCATGACATGTGCGTCTTGTGTCATCGCAATTGAGAAACATTGTCTAAAAATTAAAGGTGTTTTATATAAAATGAGATTATGTTATAAAAAAAATGTGCTTACTTTTTACGTTTTAGGTGTTAAAAGTATATTAGTTGCATTAATGGCAGCTAAAGCTGAAGTACAATACGATCCTTCTATAGTTCAACCTGAAGAAGTTGCTAACTCAATTACAGATTTAGGATTTCCTAGTGATGTTATAATAGAGAATAGTTCTCAAACTAATCAAACCGAATTAATAGTAAAATTATCAAATAAGTTTACTATTTTTATATTATATTGCAATTAATAATTTTTTATTTTAGATTGGTGGTATGACATGTGCCTCCTGTGTGAACAAAATTGAGACTAACGTGTTAAAGCTAAAAGGCGTACATAAAGCAGTTGTGGCACTTACTACACAAAAAGGAATATTTACTTATGACAGTGATTTAATTGGCCCAAGAGATATAATAGATCATATTATTGCTCTTGGTTTTACTGCTGAATTAGTAAATAATAAAGACCGAGGTTCTCGTAGTTACTTGGATCACAGGTATATTACTTTATTTTTCAGATATTTTTGTTAAAAGAAATGTTTAATGGACAATGTGTTGATTTTAAACTACAAATTATTATTATTTCTTTGAAAGTTTAATTTCTTTTTGTTATTTTTTTAGTGATGACATAAAAATATGGCGCACTTCATTCTTAGTTTCTCTTATATTTGGTGGACCTTGTATTGTAGCAATGACATATTTTATGATGGGTATGACATTTGGGTTTATAGATCATTCCTCAATGTGTTGTGTTATACCAGGACTTTCTTTAGAAAATTTAATAATGTTTATTTTATCTACTCCTGTTCAGGTGGTTATATTAAATTAATGCAATTTCAATTTTTCCATAAAACCATGTATAATGTATAATTATTATGTGTAGTTTATTGGAGGTTGGCATTTTCATGTTCAAGCTTGGAAAGCTATACGTCATGGCACTACCAACATGGATGTTCTTGTATCAGTAGCAACTACAATTTCTTATGTTTATTCATTTATTGTTGTGCTTATTGCAATCACTGAAAGTCCCGCTAAACATTCCAGTCCATTAACATTTTTTGATACGCCACCTATGTTGTTTGTTTTTATTTCATTAGGTCGGTGGATGGAGCACATAGCTAAGGTAAATTCTAATTATAAATGTTATGCTTTTAGTGTTAAAGATTTTGTAAAATTTTAGGGTAAAACATCAGAAGCTCTTTCCAAACTATTATCATTAAAAGCTACTGATGCATTACTTGTGACTATTACAAATGATTTTCAAGTTTTAACTGAAAAGGAAGTTAATGTAGATCTTGTAAAACGTGGAGATATACTTCGAGTATTACCTAACACTAAAGTACCAGTTGATGGTAAAGTTTTACATGGCCGTTCTTCTTGTGATGAATCTTTAATAACTGGAGAGTCTATGCCAGTAAATAAAAAACCTGGTATGTTTGTTTTAACAACTTTTTATTTATAATTAAAAAATTATTTTTTAATATACGAGGATCATACAGAAGTAAAATTAAAGCACTTATGAAAAATTAAAAATGAAGTACATGGAATATATTTAAATATTTTTATGACATAGTCGCCATTAAATTCAAGGTATTTTTTGAGCCTTAGTATAAATTTTTATATGCCAGTATCAAAAATTTGCTGCATCCTCTTTCAGCCTTTTCGCCTGATTATAATCTCCTCATCATTAGCAAAATGTCACCCATTAAAAAATTACTTTAATTTATTGAAAAAATGATTATCCACCAAATTGGGATTTCTAAAAGTATTTTATCCAAACAATATTAGGATTTCATGCAAAACACAAGCAATGTGGGTCTTTTAAAAGACAAACTTCATTGATTAAAATCATAATGGTATTTTTTGGAAAGTTAGAAAACGGATGACTGTTCAAACCTTGCAAGATTAAGAGGTAGTGGGACATCCAATAAGTTCTTCATCGAAAAAGCTTGTTACAACTAAACAAAACGACTTAAAAATATCAAGGGACCCCTCAAAATGACTGTTAAAAATTTAACTATTAGCCAGATATTCTAATTTAAATATATTAATATAATGGTTTTTTTTAGGTAGTTTAATTATTGGTGGTTCAATGAATCAAACTTCTCCTTTATTAATGGTTGCCACTCATACAGGAGAAGCTACTATGTTGGCTCAAATTGTTAGACTTGTTGAACAAGCACAAACATCAAAAGCACCTATACAACAATTTGCAGATAAAATTGCTGGCTATTTTGTTCCTGCTGTTATTGCCATTTCATCTATTACCTTAGGATCATGGCTTTATGTTGGTCTTTACCACCAAAAATATTTACCAATTCCTGTGTGTTAAATAAGATTACTTTATTTTTTAATCATTTATCATGAAATGATTTATTTTTAGGATGAAGATAAATTTGGACCAGATAGTTGGGAAAATGCTATTCAGTATTCATTTAGATGTGCATTAAGTGTTTTAGCAATTGCTTGTCCCTGTGCACTTGGTTTAGCAACACCTACTGCTGTAATGGTTGGTACTGGTGTTGGTGCATTAAATGGTATATTAATAAAAGGAGCTGAAGCACTAGAAAATGCTCATAAAGTAAATAATTATTAACCAAATTAAATTTAAGATATAAATAGAATATTTATTTTTTATAGGTAAAGTATATTGTATTTGACAAAACAGGTACAATAACATATGGTAAACCATCAGTTTCAAGAATTTGTTTATTTGTTGGTAACAAAATATGTTCTTTGAATCATTTTTTGTCTGTAATTGCTAGCGCTGAAGTTAGTAGTGAACATCCATTAGGTTCTGGTAAACCATAGAAAACTTTTCAATTTATTAGTTTTATTATAAATTTTATTATTATATTAAGCTCTAGTTAAATTCGTAAAAGACACTTTCGATTGTGAAATATCAGGGAAATGTGAGCGATTTCAAACTGTTGCTGGTTGTGGTATAAAATGTGTAGTTTCTCATATAGACGATCTGTTAAAAATGGGTTCAAAGTCAAATTTCATAATGAATTTTAATAACTACATGAGGTTAGTATAAAAATTAATTTAATAGCAATAATAATTTATTTACATATGTATATATATATATATATATTTTTTTTTATTAAGTGGATTTAATCAGTCAGTATTTGAGTATAATAATATTAAAGTAGAAATAGAAGAAGGTAAACCTGGAACTGAAGTACAATCAATTCATTTACATAAATTATTAGACTTAAATGAAGACATAAAACAGAATGAAATAGAATATGAGGTTTTTTATTAATTTATTATTTAATTATTAATAATTTTAGATAAATACTGTTATTATGTTATATACTTCTTTTAGGTATTAATTGGAAATCGCGAATGGATGTTTAGAAATGGCATAACCATGCCCCAAGAAGTTAATTTTAAAATGATCACAGAAGAAACCCTTGGACATACTGCAATATTATGTGCCATTAATGGTATTTATATAATCAACTGTTTTAATTGCAATGAAAAGTTTATAAAGTTGGGTGTTTCGGGAATGATAGCTGTTTATAATTTTTAAAAAATTTAATTAATTTAAAATTAAATTAACTTAAATTTTAATTGTTGTGTATAATATTAAGTACTTTACAGTGCATTTTTTAAACTAGTAAACTAGGTAATATAGATATCACTCGATTAATCTATTTTTTATAGCTTAGTTGATTGTATTCTTGCCAATTGGGAGACACTTTTTTTTATGAAAAAAACACTTTAACTGATTATTTATTAAGAAAATAATATTACTATCGCTCAACGAGTATTTAAAAAAAAAATTTACTAGTACTCTATTCTTTTTTCAATATGTTTCCATGTTCAATATATATATTATATATTTTTTCATATATAAAAAAACATTTTTTTGATGAATACTAATATTTAATTACTATTATTTAAGTTGTATGACTCTTACTTTTATGATTTTAACTTTTAAAATACTGAACCAAATAGAAAATATCATGTAATCACAATTTTTTTTATAGCTATGATAATAGCNATTTACTAGTACTCTATTCTTTTTTCAATATGTTTCCATGTTCAATATATATATTATATATTTTTTCATATATAAAAAAACATTTTTTTGACGAATACTAATATTTAATTACTATTATTTAAGTTGTATGACTCTTACTTTTATGATTTTAACTTTTAAAATACTGAACCAAAATGAAAATATCATGTAATCACAATTTTTTTTATAGCTATGATAATAGTGTTACTCTAATTATAGTTTAATAACCAAAAGACACCTGAGTAAAGCCTGGGTGGTCTGCTAGCATTGATTAAATAATAAAATTAATCTTATGCATACATTTACTAGGTATTTTGGTTGGAATGATCAGTGTTTCTGATATGGTGAAACCAGAAGCTCATTTAGCAGTTTATACTTTATTGAAACAAGGTTATCAAGTGATGCTCTTAACAGGAGATAATAGAAAAACAGCTAGTGCTGTTGCTAAACAAGTGGGTATTAATAGAGTATTTGCAGAAGTTTTACCATCACATAAAGTTGCTAAGATTCGGGCTTTACAAGAGAAAGGCATGCGGGTAGCTATGGTAGGTGATGGTGTAAATGATTCACCTGCTTTAGCGCAAGCTGATGTTGGTATTGCCATATCATCGGGTACTGATGTAGCTGTTGAAGCAGCCGATGTTGTTTTAATGAGGGTAATGTTAATATTAACTTTTACCAAAAATGAAACTTATAATTATATATTTTTCAGAATGATCTTTTAGATGTTGTCAGTTGTTTGGATTTATCTAATAGAACTGTTCATAGAATACGGTTAAATTTCTTATTTGCCAGTATGTATAACTTAATTGGCATACCTATTGCTGCTGGTTTATTTAGTCCTTTTGGTTTTACATTACAAGTAAATGTATATATTTTTTAATTGTATTGAATAAATTTAAAAATAATTTTATTTTAGCCTTGGATGGCTGCTGCTGCAATGGCTTTAAGTTCAGTATCTGTTGTAGGATCATCACTTCTCCTCAAAATGTTAGTACGATTAATTAAATTATTAATTTTATTTATTATATTTTTGTATGACTTTCAGCTATAAGAAACCTACTATGGTCTCTTTAACTACATCTGATTATCTTTCAAGATCACAAGGGGAATTAGACACCGTTTCTATACACAGAGGATTAGATGATATAGAACCATCAACTATGATAAGATCATCAAATTCTTCAACTTTATCTAAGTATGTTTATGATTGTTTTTTATTTATTTTTTTTATAGTATTCTTTATGACAAAGAGATATTTCCATAACTTATTTATACAAATGATTAATCATTTTTAAGTTAGTGTGTGTATTTATGCTTTACCAAAATTTTTGTTACATTTTAAACTTTTAGACTACAATTTGTCTCATTGCTCACTTTATTTGTTATTTATAATAATAGTAGTAATCTACACTGCTTTAACAATGACATAATATGTTTTTTTTATTTTTATACCTTATTTTAAAACGTATAATTCATATTTATGTGATTGTTATCAACAAGATAAGATCTTTTTTTAAATAATAAAAACTTAAAAATTTTTAATTAAAATTAGATTAGCATAATTAATATTGGTGTACATATTTATGATGTTTACATAAGATTTGTAAAGGGTAGTTCTGTTAGATAACAATGGTGATAATCATCATAAGCATGTGTACAGGGGCATCAAAGGGTGCATTTGCCGTCAAATTTTATTTATTTAGGCCAGGTATATTGGTGCTTAATGGAAATGTCAATTTATTTAGGATTTATATTATAGTTGCCTTACATTATTATATAAAATTTCCATTCTATTAAAGTTTAAAATATAAATTTAAAGACTTCTTTTGTTTCTCTCAAACCCAGGCCCGCATTTAGGGGGGGGCATTGGAGGCATTTGCCCCGGGCGCCAAATTTTGAAGGGCGGCAAAAATCTTAATAGGTATACAATTTTTAAAAATTAATTATTTTTATTTAATTTAAAATTTTTTCAAACAGAACAATTTATTTTTATGAAACAAAAATATCTATTTCTAAAAAAAAATATTACTTTATTATTTTTTATTATATATATATATATATTATTATATATTATTTATTATTATAATTGACATCTAAAATAAATTATGATGAGGTAATTGAAAAATTTTCGTGTATTAAGAGTAGAAAAAAATTATAATTGTTTTTCTTGCTTATTGATTAACTGTTGTTATGTTAATAAATGATATTTATAAATAATTGTTCCATTGTTAATATTTCTAACTTTTGAAAAAAATTCAAAAAAAAATAATTCAATTATAAATTATCAAATGGCCCATTTTTTACTCTTAAAAAAAATTTATGATTTAAAATAATGGTAAGGACGTCAGTGGCACATTTATGGGGGGTCTATGGGGATTGTACCCCCCACCCATGGTCCAATTGATGTCTAATGTAAACAAGGGAAATTGCTTTGAAGACTTTTTTTTTTTTACTCAACTAAAAAACCCAACCCAACACTTTTTGGGGGGCGGCAAAATTAAGTGCACCGGGCGGCAAAATTCCTAAATGCGGCCCTGCTCAAACCTCCTATACAATATGGGTTGTTTTGGTTGCATTATGGACTAGTAAAAATGACATGAAATAATTGACATCTTTGTATGTCATAATTATATTTTTTATATTTAAATTATATTTAAACATTTGGTTCCTTTGGTATATTTTATAATCTAGTAAAACCAATTATTAAATTTATATATTAAACATTTTTAGTCATAAGCAACAAAATGTTATATAAGATATATGATAATCACATTAATATTTTTAAAAAAAGTATTTAAAATCTATTGTTTAAAAATCATGTGTTTTATGAAAAGGAAAATACATTTTAAGTATAATAAAATTAATATATATTTTTAAAAAAGGATTTTTATGCCTAAAAATAAAAATTTTAATAGCATAGACACACAATAAAAGATTTTAAGAAAGTAATCATAATTTTCTCCCTTCTAAAAATATATATATTTTTTAAATAAATATAATTTTTAAGAATACTATGTCATTTCTTTTCTATTTAAAACACTCTTGTATATGTTAAAATTAGATTGTACTCATAAAAATTTCTCAAGAAAGAGTGATCAATAAATGTTTAAAACATGTAATAAAATTTACACACAAAACAATTTTATTTTTGTCTTTTACTGATTTATAGCCTAGTTTGATATATTTCTATTTTTGAAAATTTACTTGAAATCACCCTTGCTTTTATCACAGCATCTTTTGTTTAGTAATTATTAGATTTTAATTGCATTAAAAGTAGTTTTATTTTTATTTATAACTTTAATACATTAAATGTAGTTAATTTATTAAAATTAAAACAAAGTTCTATTTTTATAGGCTGTTAATGGGAAAAACAACAGCATCCGAAGCTGAAAATAGACTTCTAAGTTCTTATGATGATATGGAAGAACTTGGTATACATTATGTTGATAAAACAAAAAGCATTAATACTTAAGAAAATTTTCAAACAAATTTATTATTGACATTTAAGAAGTTATCTTAATTATTTTTTACTATATATTAATATTCTACTTTGTTAAATGTATACAGTTGAAGAATATTTTATTTAGTTTTACATAGTTTTTTTTCAAATGTTAATTTTAATTAACATTGGTTTTAAACCATTAAAATATGTTAATTGTTTTTTTTTTTATAAATTATTGTAAATATTCCATTACTCTACAAATTTGAATTTTAAACTAATGAATTACATTGAAATGTATACTTATATTATTATTTAAAATTAAGCATTTAATATTGTTATATATAACTTAAATGTATTTTTAAAAAGTTAATAAACATTTGTTACTTAAATGTTCACTTTTTTTTAACTATCTTACATTTAAATGTAAGACAGTTTGAGAAGAGTAACTAAGAAAAAGAACTAGTGATGGAAATATCGAATAGTAACTATCGAACTATTTGATAGTCATTCTTAAACTATTCGAATAGTTTTTTAACTATTCAATAGTTTATGCTAAAAATAAAATAATCGGTGGTATAAACACAATTCGAATAGTTAATCAATAGTTTAAAATATTTGAAATTGCCCATCACTAATTTTTTTTATAATTAATTTTATATAATTGGATCCTATTTATAATCTTACATAAGACCAATATTTTAGAAAAATTAACTTTACATATTTTTTTTTAACGAAACATTTTGTTGTAAAACGAATATTTCGAAAATTAAGAATGATTTATATTCAAAAAATGAATTTTAGTAAATTATTTTTTTATTTTATTTTTTTTGAGCAAGTAAAAATAATTTAAAAAAATTTTTGTTANTATTTTTTTTGAGCAAGTAAAAATAATTTAAAAAAATGTTTGTTAATACCATTTTAGAAGAAAATATTAAAATCTATAATTTATATTCTATACATTGTTACGCTAAGTGTGTTAGTTTTAAAAATAATAATTAAAAACTGAAAAATTACCTTTTTGAATGAATTTTCAACCCCGATTTGGACCCGAAAGGAGTAGGTTATCAAAACCAAATTTTACACAAATAACTTTCATATAATAAAAAACAAAATTGGCGGGTATGGAAATCGATCAATGAAAGTTAATGAAATAAGAGCCATCCTAATATATACCTGCGACTCACTACAGTTAATTTTTTAAAATGCTATAACTTCTGAAATACTAGTCCAAAAGTTGTTATCAATTAGTCATTTTATTAATAATATTATTATCTAACCTATAAGTTAGTTAATTATGTATATTGCCATTTGAAAAAATAAAGTTGATACACTTATAAGGTATAAGGGATGAACCTAAAACGAATTTAATAATGAATTGCCCATATTTATCAGTTTTTACCAACGACTCACAAACTAAAAATAAATAAAGTGGTACGTTTTAATATTATTTATTGTATAATAATTTATTTTAAGTATTCGTTAATTATCTTCTTATTATAATTAAGCGTACTTAATAATAATTTTATATAGAATTTTAGAACCCAACCAATCGAATATTTTTTATAACTATTCGATAGTTTTTAATATATTGATTAATATATTTATTATTTAAATTATCTTAGGTCAACTATTATTGAAAATAAAGATTTTTTAGTTATAAAACTTGTAGTTGCAAATTAGAAAATGAACTTGAAAAATATTTTCTTGTTAAATAGAGAGAAATGTATCACGATAAATACTGAATAACTATTATTGCTAGTAGTTACTAAAAATTGAAGTATTTATGATAAAACTTGGTTTTCATTTAGAAATAAAATTTTGAAAACAATTTAAGCATTGCATTTGGAAAGTATTATAATTGAAACGGACAGATGTAGCTGTTAAAAATTAAAAATCAATATTATCCTAATTACAAATATATGAAAGAAGCACATAATAATTTAACTTTACCCTTATTACAATGAACTCCATAATATCTAGTGCCGATATGTCTATGGAATTTTTAACTTCATAATCTTTGCCGGCATCATCTAACATTTCTTATCTGATAAGATATTATTACAGATTATACAGATAATTGTTTTTTGTGCAATATTAAACGTAAGATATGAACTTAAAAGTTCCTTTGTAATTATCTATTCTCAAAATTTGATACACTTACTTAAGTTTAATATTTTAGTTATTTGTAGTTTTCTTCTTTAAGACATTTGTTTCAATTCATTGAAATCAAGGTTAATAGAAATAATTATCTATAACTCTACAATTGAAATAACCATTGAAATGATCAATTTATGTGTTTTGTATAGAACAATTATAAATATTGTATACTATGGAGAGTGATGACGAAAAAGAAATTATGCAAAGAAATTGGAGGAGAAACTTATCTGACATAGAAAAAGTATTTTAAATCAAATTTATTTTTATTAGTTGTATTTTTAATGTTTCTTGAACTCACTATATCATGAAAATAGACATATTCTACAATCTTTTTATAAATAGGGGGGTTAGAGAGAAATTGGCAAAAGTTAATTTTAATAATTTTTCAAGAGTTTTTAAATATTTTATTTCGAATAGGATTTCAATTAGTGTTCATGTTGAACATGAAATGATATCGCTCCAAAATACAATTTTTCTGTTATTGTTAATTACACAAAATTTGACCTACGTTACTTTCAATTTAACCCCCATTATGTAAGTATAATAATTCTTTCATAAGAACTAAAATAATTTGGACATTTTAGCGAAATTTATCAAAATATGCTTTTTAAAATTGTCTTTACTAATAAATATTTATTAAATTTAATTGCCTTATTTTAAAGGCTTCTTTTCGAGATGGAGCTGTTTCTTCAAATACAGAAACTGATGAACAATTCCAAATAGGATTTAAAGAAGGTTTCATGAAAGGTTATTCAAGTGGTTATGAACAAGGATCTTACAAAAATACTATTAGGTAAATTAAATTATTATTAAGGAGAGGCAAAGTAAATCAAAGCCATAGGTGCATTTTAATCAATATTGAATTTAAATCAGAGTTAATTATGTAAACTATTAAGAGCATTGAGTATAAAAGTAAATTACTTTGCAATTTATATTAGATAATAGTTTCGAAATAAGATTATTAAACATAGGTTTCACTGAACTTAATTTGACTTCAACATATAGCAAATTTAGTACCGACATATATTCATATAACTGTTCAGTCATTGAAATGTAAAATTCTGAATAACCAAAATTGTGATAGCAACAACATGTAATATCATATAATTTTATTTCGTTGATTTTTTTTTTAATTTGATGGATTCTCTTGCAGTTAGTTTTTCTTAGTCATTAATTTTCTAAATTTAGTCTAAGTTTCAGAATATTTTATAATTTACATTCATTTTGTCATTCATTTCATCATCGTAATCTGCTTAGTATATTAAGCATTGAATCATCCACCTTTAATTTATATTTTTAATGAACTATATATACATATATATTTAATCATTCATTTTTATTTTATTATTCTAGACTTTTAAGTCATTTTAATATGACTGATGATACTGAATCAACATCATCCAAATGATTGTTAGAAAGTAAATACAAAATATTAAAATCTTCACATACGTATATTAATTATAACATTATTTAACATGTTTCCTTACTAAAATTTTTATTTAAATTTTGGGGGGAATATTGTTTGTTAAGTCAACTATGCTTTTTTATATTATATTTGTATTTATGTACAACTGGTTATTGTCAAGTATAAAATATATTTGTTTTTTAACTATAATTAATTTGTTATTGTTTACTTATAACATTTTTTAATTATATTGTACTTTCTTACCATTCTGTAATTACAGTTACAATGTTCATTTGAACTAATTAAAGGAAGATATTTTGCATTTAAGATGTTTAAGAGAGTTATGAGATCAGTACATTCACTTATTGAGTGTATCAAATTTTTATTTTTACAAATTTAACCTAAAAGAAAATATTATTTTGGAATAATATTCATAACATTTAATTACAAGATACACAATACAAAAGAACAATACTTCAATTTATAAATTTCTATTAAAAACAAATGAACTTTTATTATAATTACATATAAGCTCAAATATTCGTTAACTTGGAGAGCAGACATTTTAATCACTATCATCATTTGGAGGATTTAAAGGTTTATGACATTCATCATCTGATCCATATGGGCCATCTTCTTCAGAGTCGTTAACCATTGAAAATGCTGGATTATCTTTTGTTATAGAGGATTCTAATTTAAAAATAAAATTTACTAATTTTTATATTACTTACTATTTATTATTTCTTACCATAACCAGGCCTTTTAGTCGGCGAATAAACAGCTGCTAATGAATATACATAAAAATTAAAAATACCATAAAATGTCATAAACAATGCTGACGACATGTATTCTGTATTCAAGTCAGCAGCAAATGTATCTTCAATCAAACCAAATCCATATCGCATATATGTTATGATAAAGCAAATCAGTAGTGAAATAGCCATTGAAATACTTACAAACTTCAGTCTTGCATCTTAAAAGAAATTTTAGTAAATAAATTCGATACTTTAAAAAATAGTAGACTAAACAGTAAAATAAGACAATTAAGATTATTTGCTTGAAAATCTAGGTGAGATAATAATGTATAGAAATAGAATCTTTCTTCTTTTTAAATATATAAATTTAATAGGTATGTTATAGTATGCTTCGAACAAAATTTTACAACAATTATAAGTTATGAAATCATAATAATACTTGTCATTTCCCAAAAAAATATATTTCTCTTTATTTTTAGGCCTACAAACTCTAACTCAATAAAATTCTAAAATGTGTAACAAGTAAAAAGTTAATACGCATAACTAGAATTCTGTAATTAACACAAAAAATAGACCTCTTTTATTCTCTATATTACCTTATTATTAATTAACTTACCAAAATAAGGCATGGAACGTAAATCACTGTATGCTCTCAAAATCAAACACACCAAATATAATCCATAGACAAATGTAAATATATTAACACATAACTTTATATTCTAAAAAATTTACAATTTTTTAGTATGTAACAAAAATAATGAATTAATACTACTAATGCAATACTATAATTTTATTGTTTAAGTATTTTATCCAGTAATATGTAAAATAATAATATAAAAATGAAATTACTGAGAATGCTATAGTATCAATTTCATAACTAAATGCTGGATCATCAAATTCATTTATATGACGATATTTTGCAATCATTATACCACAAAACCAAAAGGGACTTACTAGAATTGCCTTTGGAAGATAAAAAGTTATTAGCCTTCTTTCATTCTAAAAACGGAATGAATTAATAGTAAGAAAATAATAAAAACCAAAAAAACATTAAATCAAATTACTTGACGAAGACCATGATAAATGCAAAGCCAGAAAAATAATATTGCGCAAATAAAAGTTACTTGGAAAATTCCATCACAAAGTCCAATAAATTCATTTCCAGTTAAAAGGGTTAATGGAAAAAATGGATCTATAAAATAGAATTATTATAATAGATCTATAATTATAATTATAACAAATAATATTGCTACTTACTATTAAAAAAAATTAAAAGTGGTAACAAGATTATAGTCCATTTCTGCTCATAAGACCAATCAACCACCGGAAATTTTCTTAATGAATTAGCAAAATAACACTAATGATCAAGTTTGAAGCATAGTAAAAAATATATAAGTAAATACATATATATATATATATATATATTATTTTTATACTTACTAATACTCCAAAGGTACTTAATAAATAGATCAGTCTGAACCATATTTCCATTTGTGTATATCCTGGGTTGTATGATTTATACTAGTAAAATTATAAAATAATAATTACATTTTTTCCCCCACTAAAAATTATAATAGTGCACACTTACATAGAATAAAACTTCTTTTGTCTGATATTTTTTATGAAATGTTTCGAGATCATAAAATGATACATTAAATATATAATGTGTGTAATGTATGTAGCCAATGTGAGCAATTAATACCTGACTACATGTTTGTCTCTCACATAGTAAATGCCTTTTTCTGTAAATGAAGTATAGAATATAAAAATATAATTTTTACAAAAAACACATTATAAGTACCTGCTTGTTTGACTTAATGTTTTTACAACATCAATATATTCATGCTGAGGTGTTACACCTTTGATTGACATTCCTATCTTGAAACTTTTGTCATATATTTCATCTATAATTAAAATTTAACAAATAACTATCAATGAAATTTTATTAAATAAAATAAATAGTTACCATCTTTATTGTCAGTCAAAACTACTGATATTAACCATAACCTTTGGTTATACACTGTTAAACTAGGAGTTTTCATAATGTATGGACCCTGAGGTAAAGTTCCATTAGTATGTTTCAGAACTTCTATTCCACTAACTTTACTAGTTAATGTTATTGAGGGTCCTTAAAAATATTATACACACATCGAAAATGTTAGTATTTTTAAGTAAAAAATTTAAAGATTATTTTAAACTACCTGTCAGTCCTATAAACAGAACTAACCCCATAGCTGTTAGCAAAATAACAAATATCATGATAAATTCACGCTTATTCATAGAGTACAATCGCATATGTACAGAACTAAAATAAGAATTTTACATAAAAATAATTAAAATATATAAATTGATTTTTCGGTCGGTCGTTTAAATTATATTACCGTTCACATCGATCATGATGGTAAGCTGGTGAAATATATCTGTTAAAATCGCTAAATAAATCATTAAATTGAGACACTAAGCTCCGAACTATCATTAAACAACTTCCTGTTGGTAAGCTGTAACTTGTCTCTGATCCCTCGACTGAATTCATTTTCAAAATTACTTTTTAATATATTCACATTTTACATTTTTATTGGCAATTATTAAAAAAAAATTTTGATTAACCGCAAAAGATTTGTTTTGTCATTTTAATCAAATCAAGTTTACACATGCGTCTTCCCTACGTAGGATTGTTAGAGTACACTTCTACGCTATAGTATAATACAGCGGCGTGTATTAGACAGCTGTTATTGATCCATACGCCACCCTGTGCAGACTTTGAGTTATCATTCAATGTATAAACTTTACATTTGTTTATTAAAATGGTTGAACTGCGGTTTTAGTTTATTAATTTTTCATAAGAGAAAAATATACTTTTTTTAAGTAAAACCTAGTAATAGTTTAATATAAATATGACCAATATTTACCAAAATTAGTATTCTTTATTACTCACTAGGAGAAATAATGATTTTCAGTCATTAAAAAGTAAAGCGCAGTATAGTTCTAGTAAAAAGGAGTTAAGGCATTTTTTAGATTAGTATTGATTGATATTTGGCAGTGATTACAATAACTGTCTTAAAACGTTTTATGCGCATTTAACATATTAAAAAACAAATTAACAAATCTATCAATAATTACATAGTTTTAACTTAAGAGGTATATTTTTTAAAGAGGAAAAGTCACCGGGACGTTTTTCTTTTTTTAATCATATATTGCATTAAACAAACTTTAATTTGAAATCATTTTGAATAATGTAGTGTTTAGTTACAAGGCAAAATATTATAAAATTGACAAGTTTTACGGGAAAGTGTATGATATTTGACTTTAATATGCGATAATTCTTAAAAATCAAGATTTTGTATAGTTCTTCTTTTTTCATCTTAAAGTACATTGTAATAGCTTCAACTTAATGTAGATTTAAAGGAGGTCGATTTTTTAAACATTATCAAAAATTGAAAAAGATGATTAATGATTATATTTTCTAAAAAACTTATGTTGTAATGAAGATGATTCGTAAAATGTATTATTTTTTTATTCAAATATTAATCAAAGTTTTACTAGAGAATTTTCATTAAATTATTTTTTTTGAAATTTGTACATCACTATGCATATTAAATGTTTACTACTGCTATTTTATGATTATATCATATAACTAATTTTATCATTCTTTAAAAAACTTGTTTTCGTTTTTCTTGTTCTTTTTGTTTGACGAAATATTAATGAGTAATTGTAAGTAATCGTTACGAGTTTAAATTGCTAAATATTTAATTATTTAATTACTACTACCTATATTAAAATAAAAAAAAATTAAATATCCATGGTATTTAGAAAGACATGCTTATCCTATGTCCGTAATTTTATGAAAAAGGTGCCTTAATAATAAGCAATGAACAAAAAAAGATAATAAAATATTTGAAAGTATGTGTAAAAAATTCTTTATCATGCAATATATATAAAATTTGACATTGACACCACTAATTGGAGCAGTATCGATAACTTTTTTTTATCTAATTTACGCCTATACACATCAACATGCCAAGTTACATATCAAGTAAGAATAGGTACTTGGAATGTTGGAACATTAACTGGTAGAAGTAGAGAATTAGTAAAAGTATTGAAAAGGTGAAAAGTTAACATTTGTTGTGTGCAGGAAACTAAGTGGAAAGGAGAGAAATCGAGGGAGATAAGTAAGAGTTATAAAATAATATACTCAGGTAAGTCTAGTACAAAGAATGGTGTGGAGATAATAATGGATGATGAGATGAAATGTAAAGTAGTGGAAGTGGCTAAGAGAAGTGACAGAATTATAGTCGTAAAATTGATATTCAAGGAATAATTGCTGAATGTAATAAGTTCCTATACACCACAAGTAGGATGTAATAAAATAGACGAGGAAGTGTTTTGGTGAAAGATGGATGAGGTGATGCAAGGAGTACCTGGCAATGAGGATGCGGTCATAGGTGATAGGTGAAAAATTATTGAATGAGGAGTACCCAAAAGAGACATTAGATGATATCTCGTGGAATGAGGGACTGGTAGATTTAATTAGTGAGTAAGAGGTATGGGAAACTGTGGCATCAATTAAAAAGAATAAAGCAGTAGGACCAGATGAAGAACCAATAGAAGTATGGAAAATATTAGGCGTTATTGGCATAAGGTGGTTGAAGGAACTTTTAAATAAAATCTTATTAGAAGGGAAAATTCCAAATGAATGGAAGAATAGTATTGTAGTGCCGACATTTAAAGATAATGGTGATATACAGGAATGTGGAAATTATAGAGGCATAAAACTTATGAGTCATAGTTTGAAAATTTGGGAAAAGGTGGTAATAGATAATAGAATAAGAAATGAGACATCGGTATCTAAAAACCAGTTTGGATTTATGACAGGTAAGTCAACAATGGAGCCANGATATACAGGAATGTGGAAATTATAGAGGCATAAAACTTATGAGTCATAGTTTGAAAATTTGGGAAAAGGTGGTAATAGATAAGAGAATAAGAAATGAGACATCGGTATCTAAAAACCAGTTTGGATTTATGACAGGTAAGTCAACAATGGAGCCAGTATTTTGTGTGAGGCAACTAAAAAAAGTTTAGTGAAAAGAAGAAAAAGCTGTGTATGGTATTTATAGATTTGGGGAAAGCGTATGATAGAGTACCAAGAGAGGTTTTAGAATGGGCATTAATAAAAAAAGAAGTTCCGAAAAGGTACATTAATATAATAAAGGATATGTATGATGGCATTTGTACCAGGGTAAAAAGTGTGGAAGTAGTAGCAGAAGGTTTTCGGGTAAGAGTAGGAGTGCACCAAGGTTCTGCTTTAAGCCCTTACTTTATCTCTATAGTGATGGACGAAATTACTAGAGAAATACAAGGAGAGGTGCCGTGGTGCATGTTGTTTGCTGACGATATAGTGTTAATAGGAAAAAATAGCAAGGAAATTAATCAAAGGTCAGAGAGAAAATAGACTTAGATGGTTTGGTTATGTTATGAAGAGAGTAGAATAGGAAGCTTTAAGAACAGTTATTAATTAAAGAAATTTAAGAGGTAGAGAAAGATCATAAATGAGATGGAAGGATGTTATTGAATGTGATATGAGGACAGCTGAGGTGAACGTAGATGATGTGGGATATCGTGAAGTGGAAGTTTAGGATAAGGGTGGCCGACCCCATGTAGTTGGGATTAAGGCAAGGAAAAAGAAGAAGAAGTCATATCAACATGCCCTGTTACCCATTAAATAATCATTTCATTATTTTTATTATAAAGCCGTTTCTTTAATAGAGGAACTTTTTTTCAAAATTGATTTTTATTTTGTGGAAGATCATGGCTATTATAACCTAAACTTGTATCTATGCCTATTCCTAATATAGTACTTTTATTCATATTTTGGAAAGTTATGTTATAAGCAGATAGAAATTAATACAATGAAATAATATATACTAATTATTCATTTTGTAACAATAAAGGTTTACCGACGAAATGAAAAACAAAGTATTGTTTTTTATTGACGTTTAACGGTTGTTACTATGAAAATTTGAAACAATTTCAGTTATCTTATGTCGTTTCTATTTGACTTTAACCTCATCATTACTTTGAACTCGACAAGCACTACCTATAGAACTGGCAGTGCACACTGCAGTTTAACTAATAACTAATGAAAACACAATTGTATTACAACACAAAAACGTGTTCCACTCGGCTCAACACTCGTTGCCAGCTGTTGACCGGCGACCCGCTCTGCCCATTGCTACACCCGACCAGTGAATAAACCTTTCCTCAAGGTAGTCGCAGTCACGCCGTTATCGGTTGTAGTCTAAATTTGCTTAATTTGCATGTTGCTTGTGTATTTATAGTTGTCGCGAGCTTGTACCTATGCGCGTGTGTATTATAATTATAATTGAAATTTATCAACTTAAAACTTTTTAAAACTCGGCGTTATGTGAAACGTGATTTTTTTTCTCAATAAAACAATGCCGTTATTTAATCGAAAATCTGTGCACAAACACTCTAAAGAACCGGTGGTAAGGCAACAGTATCGCAACGATGAGGATGAAAAAGCTAAACAGAATTTAGTTTTTCACTGTCAACAGGCTCAAGGTAGCCCCACTGGATTAGTCTCAGATTTTTCCAACGTTCGTGAGCTTTACCAGAGGGTAGCTGACTGTTATGATTTTCCATCTGACGAAGTAACAAGTTTTTTTTTTTTCTATTTTTGTTTTTATATAAAAAATTTGCCCATCTTTTTATGATTTGTCTAGTAATCTTTCGTGTACATATGCGACTAGTTTCCGGACCGGAACTTGGTATGGACCCACAACATTATAATACCAAAGTGAACAAATACCGTTCCGGTTTAAAGGACTCGTAAATCATTAAGCATAACGAACCAATACCCCTACCCCAACATGCTTCGTTAATCTAAATAAAAAAAACTTTTTGCCAATGCGCCTTACTAAAGTTACGAATTTGTAAAATTAGTACACAATAGTTAAAACAAAAATTAGACATGACGATACATAGTCGCACACATGTATAATTATCGAAACAATAATTTTGATGACTGAATCAATTTATCGAGAGAGTATAGACTAATTAGAGTTCTGCAATTTTCAAAAAATTTCTTCCCTAATTGAGAAATATCAATTGTGAGTATATCAATACTATTAATCATTGATTGTCACTGTTATTAATCATACACGATTAATAACAGTGACAATCTATAGAAATCGATTTCTTTACATTCCTTTAAGTGTTCATAATACAATATCAGTGTGATAAAACTTGTAATACCTGGTTCGGGTAATCCTATTTCTAAAATACCGTTTACAATTCTAGCAGCAATCTAATTGCCACTTTCTTTCACTATCGCATCAAAAATTATATATGGAATCATTTTTAATATACCTGCTCGTATTTTTAAATGCAATAATTACTCCATGTTTTCATGCTAAATGGGTTGCAATAGTTTCTAAGACACAAAGCATAATCTTTTTATAATTTCCATGACCTGTAATTCTATGAATTCTTGAATATGTTAACGTATTCAATCTCAGTTTAAATCAACTAATTAAATCACTTGTATTCTGAAGTAATACATTATAGATTTTTATTACAATTAATGGTTATCATTAATTGATAGAGAAATTATTTAAATGTACAAAGTTTGTTTTATTAATAATTAATCAAATTTGTTTCCATTATTAGAACAAATTTTAGAACTAAAAAAAGTAGTAACAATTTTTAAAATTTTTTATGGTTAATGAGATTTTATGATTCAGTTATAGATGTGTGATTTGCCTAACAAAAAAAGAAATAAATTTTAATGAAAATTAATTGATGACTTACACTTTTAGCCGAAAGATTATATAACAGCAGGTTTTTTGAAAATCTTGTAAATAAATTTCTTAATTACTTTGATAAAAATGAATATTTTTATCTCTTGTTTTAAAACATTTTTAGAGAAATTTAGAAGTCATAGTTTTCTTGATAATGGGGATCATGTGTTAATAAACATCATCTGTGCCGTATTAGTTAAATTTAAGTATAATCACTATTTTAAAAAATATTTCATGTAATTTAATTTATTGGTTTTCAAAATTGAAATTAAATTATTAGCCTTTTGAGATAATAATAATAAAAAAAAAAAAATTTAACTAAAATCACTCTTACACAACATTTTGTTGTAAAATCTATAAGTTTAGTAATACGACAATGTACCTAATTAATTTTGGTATTTAATTTTTGAATTTATTAAAATCGCCTAAAACTATCTGAACTTTAAAGACTGAAAATAACTAAATCCATTATCTCGTTTTAATTTTTAATAATATTACATGATTGTATTATATTATATTTAAAGCTTTAATAGTATTAAGTGTAATAACTCGGATGTTGTTGATAGAAATAAAATATTTAATCAAATTATAAAAAATATATATCCATTACTATTGATGTGAGTTTTGTTTTAATTTTCAAATTGAAACTATTATACTTTCAACTGTTCTCCTTAAAACATAAAGTACTGCCAAAATGTTTATCATAAAATTATTTTATTATCTTTATTAATGCAACTATACTGGAGTTCCAATTTAAATTTTTGCCAAGACTATTTAGTACAGATGGTTTTACTAAACGTCATAAAAGGTTAAATGATTATTATGATTGTTTTATAATAGCTACAATATCTAAAAAAACGTGAAAGTTATAATGCCTACATAATTTATTCATGTATTGTATTATTCATTGTTTGTATAGCAACTTGGAAGAGCTAAAATAATTGCATGTAAAGGGTATTCAAAAACTTGAACTTCCCACATGATGTCGCCATTGAATTACATTTAGAATGAGTTAATTTATATATGTATATAAATGAACAATGTAATAACGAAATTACATTTCGCAAAATTCAGTAGTCATGGGTCACTATAACAATATAATAATATATATAATTATGAAATAATTATTTAGTTGTGTAAGAACGTTTCAAATATATTCTGAGAATAATTGTCATTTTAGAGATCAGAAAGTAAAGAATACAGTTCAGTGACAAAATTAAACCTTATATCAAGCTTAACCATACCTAACTCTGTAATGTTTTACCAGTAGATTATTCATTAAATAAACTTAATAAAGAAACAAATTAATTAATTGAATAATATTGGTCAAATGGGTAAACTTAAATCTTTTAAAACGTCAAATTAAACATCACAAATAACCGCGGAATGTTTACCACAATAAAGAAATAATCGAAATTATAAAAAAACATACATAAAGCTCAAATATTCGAAAAACCTGTAATTATAATTTTATAAGTCTCGGCTAATTGTCATGTAAAAACAAAAATATATTTATTTTTTAATTATTCACGATATATTCTATCTATTGGTATAAATTTTATAATAATGAGATTAATCCATAAATAATTACAGTGGAAAGTTGAGCTTTTTTTTAAACATGCACAACAAACTCAAATTATGTATATAACGTATATAAAATGTATTATGTATATAGAGCACGGTCTATGATTTTTAGGATTTGGCCAACCGATGGCTATCAACACATACAGAGATTTCCATGCTAATTAGTCCGCAATGAAAAGAGGGAAATCCAAAAAAGTAGAATATTATTTTTGTACGATATAGTCTGTTGAAATAATATTCATTACGTTTCATGTGCTGGAGTAGTATGTTAACTAGTCTACAACCAATTCTTAATATATAAATATAAATTATTATCCTTTCTTTTTTTTAAAAAACAGCACAAGAACACTCTAAGCGTGAAAATTTCCAGATCGTTTTTACATGCGTGTAGTTGAAAAACTACTCATTATAATTTTTGATAAATTCTTCTTTAAAAGACGTCTTCTTAAAAATAATTATCGATAGCAAGCCTTCTTTGTTTATACTACTGCCAGATATTATCTTCCTGTTAAATATGTTTCAATTTTTGTAAAATTAGTAAAACATTATTTTGCCTACATTAAGAAAATATAAAAAATACAAAGTTTGATAAAATCAAACTTTTTTCAAATATTTGATTATATTTATTTTATCATACTACACAATCTACTGTCTAAGTATAATAATTATATTTTATAGAAATAGTAATCTATACTGTTATTATAAGTTAGTATGTATAATTACTAATACAATGTTTATAGTAAAACAAGAAAAAATGATTTAGTATTTCCTATTACAGGATATACAGGGAAAAAACTCAATTTGTGAAGTCTCAAATTATCTACATCATAAAAATGTCTAAACTTCAATTGCAGGGACACAGTATTTGGGTTGTTATAAACAACAAAATCCTTTAACAAATGGTTGGTTAGATTTCTTTCTACTTCTTACCAGCCAAACTTGAGCCAATAAAATTATTATAGGTTAAAATTGAACTTTTAGGTACATGAAAAATAATTGATTCTGAATTTAAAATTCTGTTGATGGATTATACTTGCAAAGACTTACAGATAACTCATTAAACAAGCTTATGAACTTAACAAGGTTATGTAAATATACTTTTAAGTAGTGTGTAACTTTAAACTATTCCTACACGTAATATTTCTAGTTCCGGTTTTATATCAAATGATTATTCATATAATTCTGTAAATTTCTTACAAAATTTTAATTTATTGATCAATTTAAACTAAATAAATCTAAATCTTAATGAACTTTATTCAAGTAGAGTTTCGGTTAATGTATTTTATACTAATATGTTGGTATTATTAACACCATATATTTGTGTTCTTGTACAGTCTACAGTAAAATATACTAAAAACTAACATGTTTGTATAGAGTTAATCAATACGATGCATGGCAAAGTCAAAACTGAGTAGTAAAACATCAATATGAATACTGGTTTGTACACTAGTACTTACCANTTGTTGTTGACTATTGCATTATTGGAAATAGTTTAAAATTTGACAACATTAGAAGAAAACTTCAATTTTAGGCACTTAAAGAAATTATTTAGACAATATAGAAGTTTTATTTAGTATAGCTATTACAAATGTTTATAAAAAATTAAGGTTAAATATTACCGTTATATTTACAAAATCAAACTAACAGCATAGTTTTACTCATTTATTCATATTTAAATCACAAAGTATGAAGTAATGCATTGAATGAGTCATTTAGGATAACAGTTTAATGCAAAACCTTTTTGTATAGGAGTTATTTGTATGTTTTTACTTGAATAAGTAACGAATATCTGACGATCAATTTTATGTTTCATTTCAATTTTTAATATTTAAAAAAAAATGTAATCTATTAATGAACATACAAATTTGTAGCGCTAATGTTGTTGAGTGGTGGGATAAGGAGATTAATCCCCCAGAAATTTATAAAAATTATAAGAATTGTTATATAAAAATTATTTTTTGGAGGCAGGAAATTGAATTTAGTCCCCGAAAAACATTGATCACCATACAGCTATATGTAGCACAAAACTATATAATTTTGGTTACTAAATAGTCGTACATGTAATATATTATTTTTAATAAATCAAATAAATTAAATAACTATTATATGTGAATTAATAATATTTTGCGGTTGTTTTTAAATTTCTGTAGTCCATTACGTAATTGTGATTAATAATTATTACATATTAACCAAGGGCAACCTGCAGCTATTAGTTAAAGATAAGTTTTATCGCCAAGTTATGGAAATTTGACCGAAGGACGTGAAAGAATTATTTTCAAAGAATACCAAATTAATAATACAAACTTTTCTTCTTGAAATAATTAACAAATAGTACTAGTTATTATTACTATAAATCTTACTCAATATATTATTATAATCAATAATTTGACTTATCCCATTCTCTGAAACACTTTTGAGTGATAATATTCCATTGTTACGTTTAAACTAAAATGAAAAAAAATTTCATTTAAGTTTAAACGTGTATTTGTTTATGTTATCAGATTTTTGACAAATTATAATTTTGAACTTTTAATTCATATTATGTAGTGTCAAACATGGATACATTATTCATAGTTTGATAAAATCCATTAGCATTGTTAAAAATTCCTATATGAAACTAAAATAAAAATATTTATTTTTTTTTTTAGATCCTTTTTTGTACTCTGAACACTCATAAAATAGATATGAATAAACTTCTTGGTAGTCAAATTGGTCTGGATGATTTTATTTTTGTACATAGAAAAGNTACGTAATTGTGATTAATAATTATTACATATTAACCAAGGGCAACCTGCAGCTATTAGTTAAAGATAAGTTTTATCGCCAAGTTATGGAAATTTGACCGAAGGACGTGAAAGAATTATTTTCAAAGAATACCAAATTAATAATACAAACTTTTCTTCTTGAAATAATTAACAAATAGTACTAGTTATTGTTACTATAAATCTTACTCAATATATTATTATAATCAATAATTTGACTTATCCCATTCTCTGAAACACTTTTGAGTGATAATATTCCATTGTTACGTTTAAACTAAAATGAAAAAAAATTTCATTTAAGTTTAAACGTGTATTTGTTTATGTTATCAGATTTTTGACAAATTATAATTTTGAACTTTTAATTCATATTATGTAGTGTCAAACATGGATACATTATTCATAGTTTGATAAAATCCATTAGCATTGTTAAAAATTCCTATATGAAACTAAAATAAAAATATTTATTTTTTTTTTTAGATCCTTTTTTGTACTCTGAACACTCATAAAATAGATATGAATAAACTTCTTGGTAGTCAAATTGGTCTGGATGATTTTATTTTTGTACATAGAAAAGGCAACTATTCCAATAACCTTTTAAAACATTATTTTGTAAATTAAATCAATGTTCATTCAATAGGTAGACCAAAAGAAATTGAAATTGCTAAAACAAACGAAGCACTTGGTTTGACAATCACGGACAATGGTTCTGGATATTGTTTCATTAAACGCATCAAAGAAAATAGTATTATTGATAATATTTCTTATATTAATGTAAGTTAAAATTAATATATTATACCCTATTTATTTTCGTAAATTAATTGGAGTAAAAAAAAATTAAAGGTCAATGACCTTTGGACGTATTTGCGTGTAAGATTATGTAGAATGCCAAGAAATGATTATAATTATTCGTATTATAAAAATTAACTATTCATTACCAAAAAACATTTGTATAATTATATAATAATTAGTGTTTAAAATTTTAAAAGGTAGGAGACCATATTGAAAGAATAGATAATGAATCTATGGTCGGTAGAAGGCATTATGAAGTTGCTAAGCTACTGAAAGACATTCCTAAAGGAACTGTATTTACCTTGCGTTTAGTTGAGCCGCTCAAAGCTGGATTTTGTGAGTATAATAATTAATTGGTGAACAATGTACATTTTTAAAAAAAATTTAAAAAGATTGTCCAATATAAATCCAAGGAATTCCCATAGAAAAAATTCTCGAGCAGTTTAATAAGGTTCACCTCAAAAATCGTAAGATATTCGTATTTATTAATACAAAAATCGTATTTATTTATTCTTGCCTTATAAATCTTGAATTTTTCATGGAAGCTATGTTATTTTAATCCAAATACTTTGATTTACAAAACATTAAATTTTCCCATTTAGACTATTGCAACAAATTCGTTTGATACATTAACTGCACCCCTGTAAGCATTACATTAGACATAAATTTTTCGAAAAATAATCCCATAAACTGAGGTAAAAATAAAAAAGTTATATTATTAAAGTTTTGATACAGAAATTGTAATTGGGTTTCTTACAGTATTAGTTTCCTTACTGTATATAAAAAAAGTACCTTTAAATTAAATCCCTATGTCTTATGCATATAGGAGCCCTCGTTGATAAATATAATAGAAAAAAAAGTATAGTGTGTTTAGTAATGAGTTTAAATTTTCAGCAAATATTGAACCAAGAGGTAATCGTAAAGGTAAAAATGTATATGGAAATGGAAAAGAAACTCTGAGATTTAAGGCTAATGGTGCAGCGCTAATACAAAAAGAGGTAGCTATTCTATTTATATGATTTAATATGAATAATTCATTGGTTCCAGTTATAAGAGACAAAAGTCAATTTGATTAACTTCCCAAGGGAGTTCTTTAAAAAATTGAAAATATATAAATATGTATAAAAAATTGATAAATATTTAATTTATAGAATGATGAATCGCGTAAAGGAATTGACAAAATTAACCAACTTTTAGAAAATCTCTTGGGCATAAGTGATGTAGAATTAGGTAAGTATTAATTGAATTTTTATGATTGTTCATTTTGAAATATTGATTGATTTTTATCGTTCAAGTATTTTTTGTGGTATTTGTACTATTTAATATATTTATTTCTACATTCAAAACTTTTAAATTTTCATTATTAAACAAATGTATAATTTGTTATTTAATTAAATAAACTTCTACAGCAACCCAAATTTGGGAAAAAGGTGAAGACAAACTGAACAGTATGGATTTCGCCGAAGCTATTGATAACTCTGACTTAGACGAATTAGGATTCACTGATGACTTCATAATTGAACTTTGGGGCGTTATCACAGATGCTAGAGCGGGACGATTGAAAGACTGAATGTTTTATTTTTTGCTGTCTTTATATATTTTGTGTATAGTTTGATATTCTTCCATATAATATTAAGTGAAACAACTATTATGTACTATTAATTAATGATGGTTTTCGTTAATAAAAATTAATTAATTATTTTTTCGTCAAAATATCTTATACATATTTAAAAATATAAATGTAATTGATTAGTACTTATATTAACATAACTTATGTAACACTAAAGAACATTTTATATTTTTATACTGAATTACATTCATGGTTAAACTTTTAAAGGCTTCGTATAAAATAAACGAAATGAATCATGTTTAATTCCAGCTGAAGTTAGTTTCTAGTCTTTTTATGTAGTCTAGGTATAATATAATAAAATAAACTCAGTACCAAAAAAAAAAAAACTTGAAAAATTAATGGATACGCGTATTTTGAAAACGATGTTTTCATTAGTGCCAAATAGATAATGTCCCTTTGACCAAACACAATTTTTAGACTCCCTACCTGACTATTTTCTTTTTTTTTTATTCAAATCAGATTACACAACTTTTAATAATAAATTTGTAGTTCATAAATGGGAAATAAAATTATTTTAAAAGATAATATGGAATGAATTGAGACGACCAAAGAAAAGAAAAACAGCTTTGTATGGTGTTCATAGATTTGAAGAAGGCATATGACAGAGTGCTGAGAGAAGTGGGCGTTAATGAGAATAGGAATCCAAAAATGTATATTAATGTAATAGAAAATATATATGAAGGCACTTGTTTAGGTTAAAAAGTGTGTGTAGAGAAACAAAGGATTTCAGATTAAGAGTAGGCGAGGGCCAAGGTTCTGCTTTAAGCCCTTATAAAATTGCTATAGTAATGAATGAAACTTAACCAAAAGGTTATTTAAGGAGATGTTTCGTCGTGGTTTATGTTGTTTGCTGATGATATAGTGTTCATAGAAGAAAATAGGGAATAAGTTAATCAAAGACCTCAGGTATGAAGATTAACTCTCGGAAGAAAGAGGATCAGGGATTTTTTGTAAAATTAATAAATATTAAAGTATCAATTCATATAAAAATGTTTTTAAACACTTCAATGTTTAAAAAAATAGAAAACATATAGATAAATAAACACATTTAAAAATGTTAATCCATGTAAAAATAATTATGTTATTACTCAGAGCTGAGTTACTAAGTCCGTTTTTATTTAATGATTTTGTAGTATACAATAATTATGATGACTCACTTTTATGAGTTATTTAAAATGTCAGATATCTAAAAGTTGATTAGTAGCCAACTACTTTTAAATAATATTTATAGTGATAGATCATATAGTAAAGGTCATATTATTTACATATAAATACTTATATGTCAAAATAGGCTTTTGATTATATGTACTTCATATCATTAAGTTGTGTAAAAATAAACATTTTAAATATCTATTTGGAAATTCTTGTTTGGATGTCGTGTTTTATCTAATATACAATAATATCACTGTTAAGATAGAATCAAATTTTTTGTAGAACTTATAGTTAGTAAACTCTTTAATAAGAAGGGGACCAGCAACCCATGACTATCTAATCCTCACCTCCTTGAGACCATCGTTCAGTTAATAGGAAAGCAACGATCATCAATGGATTAAAATGTATTGCAACTAGATCCTATTCAAACGTTTAAATATACATTGATGAATTTAAGATTTGTCGTCCTTTTCGTATAAACATAAATGTTCAAAAGTCATCTCTGAAATACCCTTAAAATGCTGTTCTAGGCGAAAGTCAGACCCTATTACTAGGCCTATATTTAAGTGGCAAGAGGGCGAATCCTCCGGGGCCCATGACAAATGAACTAGCCAGTCATGATTAGTGATTTATAGTTTTTCTGTTTTTTTGGTCATCATTTTTTATAATAGCGATATTATCCATAGGGTGGTCTATCTTTAGGTACCGGTATTAATCTTAATAATCGGTATTAAGTTTTGATGTCACGATAATATCTAATANTGATTTATAGTTTTTCTGTTTTTTTGGTCATCATTTTTTATAATAGCGATATTATCCATAGGGTGGTCTATCTTTAGGTACCGATATTAATCTTAATAATCGGTATTAAGTTTTGATGTCACGATAATATCTAATAGAAGATGTATTTCATCACTTGACTTATATAATACGTTTGAACGTTGTATTGTTCAAGTCTTTGGCCTTGATTAAGGAAAGTCCATATTAATGGTTGTGCGCGCATATGCGTTAAGCACAGATTTATGTATTTTTCAGGAATGACATTTAAAAGTCATATAAGAGATATATACTAGAGTAAATAAAACATTTGACCACAGCGTAGTAGGGCGTCATAAGAGTATTTTATATACCTTATTTGTGCACATGAAAATACACAATTTGAAAGATTTATTTTAATATATAACTCATTTTACACAAAATTTGCACATAACAAATGTGTCACTTAACCATTGATATGGAGCCATAATTGAAGTACTATCATATTATGTCAACTGATATAGGTGTGATAAGAGTGATAAACAAATGTTTGTAGTCATTGATTATATTTAAATAATTGAAATCCATAAAAGGAAACAAGTAAATTTTTTAGTTATAAAATATAAATTTCTTATAAACTTATCGAAATAATGGTTTAGTAATACAAATATTTTTAAAAAAGTTAGATTAAACAAAAAAAATGGTAAATATCAATATACGTGTACCTATACAAATACAGTAATAATATAGTATTTTACTAAAATAATATCTAATCAACAATCAATTATTATTAATAAATAATAGGTAATGAATGCTGGAGAAATTGAAAATGTGAGAGTAGCAGTACGTTTGAGACCACTCAGTAAAAAAGAAAAAGCATCTGGTTGTGTACCAGTTGTTTTAGCTGATCCTGAGAATGCAGCCATATATGTACAAAATCCAAATCCTTCATATGTTGGCCCTCCAAAAACTTTTATGTTTGATTTGGTTTTTAATTCAGATTCTAAACAAGTAGAGTAATTTAAATAAATATAAATTTTACAATAAAAATAAATATTTTTCTACCTAGTTAGATGTTTACAATGAAGTTGCTAGGCCTATTGTGGACAAAGTATTTAATGGTTATAATGGAACAATTTTTGCTTATGGTCAAACAGGTACAGGAAAAACCTTTACAATGGAAGGATCACACACATCTCCTGAACTTAATGGGATAATTCCTAATTCTTTTGCTCATATTTTTGGTCATATTGCTAAAGCTAAAGAAGATATTAAGTAAGATTCTATTAAGACATATGTGTTATAAAATTATTAATATATTTATACTACTTTTTAGGTTTTTAGTTAGCGTGTCTTATTTTGAAATTTATAATGAAGGTGTCTATGATTTATTGAGCAAGCATGTATCTACTGAATTAGAAGTAAAAGAAAGGCCTGGTATTGGGGTGTATGTAAAAGATTTATCTACATATGTTGTAAATAATGCAGATGATATGCACCAACTTTTAATGACTGGCAATAAAAATCGTATGAATTAAATTCTTTAAATTATTAATTGGTGTTCAAATTTCAAAAAATTAAAAATAAATTCTAATAAATATGTAAGAAGATAAATAAAAAGTACCTCTTTTCAAATTTTAAGCTCTTAAAGTCATATCTTAAAGTTTATTTGGCAAAACAAATTGTTTATTTCACAAATGTTTAGAAGTTGTTATTGAATACTTGAAAAATTAAATTAAATTAGACTAGAAAACTTGTCATAGTTTTTTTTAAAAAAACAGCAAAACTTTGTTTTTGTTTTTTTATCAAAGTTAAAAAAATAGATTCTTTTGAATTTAGTATACTTTCTTAAATTTAGAACTCATATTTTTCATACTGTAGTTATTATAAATTTAATATGAATGTTTAGGTGCTACTGCTTCTACAGCTATGAATTCTGAAAGTTCTCGTTCTCATGCTATTTTTTCAATTTCTATTGAAACTAGCCGGCCTGATATAAGAGGAGAATATCATGTTAAAGTTGGAAGACTTAGACTAGTGGATTTAGCTGTAAATATAAAATAAATGAAAATAAATAATTTAATTATTTTTTCTTTTGTATGCGTTTATTAAAAGGGTTCAGAGAGACAATCTAAAACTGGAGCTTTAGGCATCCGTTTTAAAGAAGCAACTAAGATAAACTTATCACTCTCTACTCTGGGTAATGTTATATCATCATTAGTTGACGGTAAATCTACACATATTCCTTATCGTAACTCAAAGTTGACTCGCATATTACAAGATTCTCTTGGAGGAAATTCTAAAACTGTTATGGTAAATAAAATTCATATTTTTATATATGGTATAGGGATTTATAGTTTTTTTTAATAAAACTAGTGTGCTACCATTGGACCAGCTGGATTTAACTATGATGAGACAATTAGTACATTGCGATATGCCAATAGAGCAAAAAATATACAAAATATGTCTAAAGCAAATGAAGATCCAAAAGAAGCTTTACTTAGACAATTTCAGTTGGAAATAGAAGCCTTAAAAAAACAAATTGATGATAGTAGTAAAGGTCTTAGTGAAGCTGAAGAAGAAGTTGCAGAAGGAGAAGAAGAAGGATTGGTTGTTGGAGTTTCTGAAAAAGTTATTAATGCTGTACAGAGTAAGCGTGAAGAATTAGATGCAGCCCGTCATGAAATGATAAGATTAAAAGAAAAATTAGAAAATATGGAGAAAAAGATTATTGTTGGCGGAGAAAATTTATTAGAAAAATCTGTTGCTCAAGAAAAACTATTAGAAGACTCAGCAAAAGAATTGTTGGATAGAAAATCCAGACAAATGAATCTTAACATGCGTTTACAAGAAGTTCAAGCAGAAAAAATGGACACTGAAGATAAATATAGTAACTTGCAAGAAAGATCTGTAGCATTAACTAAAAAACTTAAAAAGATATCAGCTGCTATTTTAGCTGTTAAAGAAGATTTAAAAGATACTGAAGAAGAGGGAAAACGAGAAATTGAAGAATTAAAAGAAATTTCTAAACAAACTACTAAAGAACTAAAAATGCAAGAACTTATCATTGAGCACTTTGTTCCAGATGAATACTTAGTAAGTAATTTATTTTACTCATTAAGGTAAATAATAAAAAAAAAATTAGACTCAAACAGATTTCACTTATAATTGCAGTAGCGTTCCTAGGGTTTTGTTTTGAGAGGAGATAAACATAAGACATTTTTTTATTACCTCTCCAAAATAGATATTTACCATGTATTTACATGGTTTTTCACAGGGTTATCCCCTATGAGAACATAATTGTGTTATTAAGCAGTAAATAAAGTATTACAAATATTTTTTATTATTTTCATACCTCATATTTTCATATATATATATATATCCTTGTATTTCTCTATTAATTTCGTCCATCACTATAGAGAATAAGTAAGGGNATCATCATCACCCGAGAGTAACTTATTATTAACACTTTCTATACACCTTATAAAATGATAATTTTTAGACCTTTTCTCTCTTATCTTTGCAAGTCTATAGATTTCTTTTTTGCCTTTCTTTGTTCCTAGCTTATCATACAACTCATCATACCTCTTAAACTTCGCCTTACTTACTAGTAATACTAACTAGTATTTTGTTGTAAAGGATATAATAAAAAAAAATTCATTTTGGAATGAAGAGATTGGAGAATGGGAGTTAAAATGTGTTGCTTATACTGGAAATAATATGGCAAAAGAGTTACCAAGTGAAGAAGACATAATTTTAAAAGTAATTTTTTATTTATATATTATTATTTATTTTCTACTTACGTTAATAATCAAATTTGAAAATATATTATCAAATACTTAACTTAGAGTATTAATACCATATTTTAGAAATTCTGTTAAAATTTTTTTTTTTTAAATTATTGTATTATTTGAAGTATACTTTTAAATTAGGGGTGAGCATTAGAATGAATAGATATAGATCAATATTAACTATATCAGAAAATTTTATTTTTTTTTTTAATTAAAAGAGTAGGGTAACTGCTTCAGTTACTGAACATCTTCTAATAGGATACATAGTCAGTATTATCTAAAATTGAGTAATTGTATAGATTTTTAATACATGACTTTTCTGTCAAAATTAAAAACAGATTTTCACATTATTTTGCTAAAACTAAGATGAAATTAAATTATTAATTTTATATCTACATATTAAAATTTAATTTACAATAATTTTGATTTTGAAATTCAAGAAATCCTTGATCGATAACTAAATGAGTTACATTACTTATTAAGTGAAGCTCTTATTTGAGAAACATTGCAAGTTTAAAATATAAAACTATGTAAAATTGCTTTTTACCGAGTAACTTGGATATATTATCAGACACTAGATATATGTTAAATACATAATATACACGCAGTTATACAGAATTTTTTAAACAATTTCAAAAATATCTATCTATTAAAAATTTATTCTTCATTATTTTTTCACTTTCGTTGTTTCGTAAATAAGTAATTCTATTTTAATTTTAATAGTTAATCTTTTAAAATATGATAAATTTTTTCTAGTATACTTTTAATATTGGGTTGGTTAACAGCAACTAATAAATTTCATTAGTAATTGGAAAAAAATTCATATTGAATCCCTAGTTTCTTTGGATATTATATAGTGTAAGGATTATCCATTTTTTTATTTTTATCGATGATTTTAAATAAATTATTATAGTACAAATTTATTTTTAAATTAAAAACTTGATGCATCATTTTTTTACGAGTGAAGCATCAATTTGTTCACGATTAGTTTTTTTTAACTGTTAGTTTTAAAAATATTACATTAAAAAAATGATTTAGTTTTTAAAACTCAACATGTATTTATATCTTGTTGGGAATCTTCCAACTGAAAACTTACACTTTTAGCAATAGATAGTCTTTTTTTTTTCTTGTAATTTTTTTAATTGCACTACTGATGTGACCTAGAATTCTGAAATAGTATCAGTTATATTTTTGGCATTACATTCTAATGATAAAATGTAGATGTTATGATTCTCGTCCATATATCATTAATATAAATAAAATCATAATACAACCAAATTTTCACATGTAGATTTTTAAAAACCTTGTAGATAATTAATTTTTAATTAATATTTAATGAAAGCACCATTTTAAAAATGAAATAAATGTAAAAATTATTAAATTTTTATCTAAAAAATTTTTAAAAAAATAGAACATAGTGATTATTGCACTATTGCTTTAAATTTTATTAATTAAAAATGCTGTATACTCCTTATAATTATTATCATAAAATAGTTGTAAGCATTAATAATAATTTGTTTTAGTCTCACAGACCAGACTTTTCACACGTGTATTTAACTTACAAAGATAGAAGTCATTCAATAAGATCCAAATCAAGAACTGGAAAACGGAATCTCAATTAAACTATTCATGAATTATTATTCTTATAGAAAAATATTGTGATATTGACACATTCCTAGTCATTATTTTATATCTAAATACTATCACTAATTTGATTTTTTTCAAGAAAAAAAGCTTAAGGAAAATTTAAAAAGAGCATAATCTATGTCATATTGAACAATTATCTTATTATACAGATAATATGAATTAATAAATAATAATAGCTATAATTACAAAATGTATTACAATTAATAATACATGTGATTTTATAATGTAGTTAAAATAATCAATATCTGAAGGAGAAATATAATACTTAAAAATAAATTTGATAAAAACTACTAACATTAAAACAATTTTTGATATAAAATTACTATATACAAATTATGTATATATATATATATTTTTTATGTTGTCCTAGATGTGAATATACAAGAAGCTGGTAAGTTAGTTTTAATAATTAAAACAAATATTCAACTTTGATCACATAGTATGACAAAGTATATGCCTGAAGTCTTAATTTCACAGACAACGACTTTTTCAATAATTTCATCTTGAAAGTGAATGCGATCTTTCTTCTTTATCGTGTAATCTTTGATTAGAAGGAAGTTTATAAAAGAACTGATGATCTAATGCTTCTTCCATGGTCATTCGTTGAGATGGTTCATACTTAAGTAATTGAGAGATCAAATCAAATAATAGTCTATGGTCTTCTTCTTCTGAGCTCATGTATCTCTAAAATTAAATAATTATAAAATTTAAATTTGTTTTAATAACAAATAATTAACATACTTTTAATGGTTTACAGTTTTCTCTAACATAACGTCCAGCAGAACTAGACTGGTCCCAATCAAGTTTACCATGATAAAAGTATTTGGTTTTACTACGCCTAGCCATCCTTAAAAACAATATGTATAAGGAATAAATGAATTATAACATAATATAAATTTTGACAATTACTTGTAAGGTATTGAGCCTAGTATTCGCTCCATCATTGCAAGGTGTTCACGGTTATCATGCGTTTGAAATAAAGTGATACCAAGATAAAGTTCAAATATAATACAACCAATTGACCATACATCACAAGGTTGGGCCCAACCAAGTTCTTTAAATAAAGAAATAAATTGAAATGTTTTATAAGAAAACATCGTTTTCTTTTACAATACCTACCTAAAATAACTTCAGGAGCTCTGTAATGTCTAGTAGAAACAACTGTACTATGATGTTCATCATCAAATGTTGCACTACCAAAATCAATTAATCTGACTTCAGTGTCTTTTATCATTTTATATGCACGCTTCTTTAAAAATAAAATAATATTAGGAATTATTATTAATATTCAAATGTTTTATTAATTGAAGACTAATTAAAAAGAGATCAGTGTACATAAAAAAAAAAAAAAAAAAAAAATTCGAAAAAAAAAAAAAAGGAAAAATTGAATACTATTGAAATCTTTATGAGCTCTTTATCCAGGATATAATTATTTTAATGCTAGCCAATATTGTGCTATATTATAAAATGTTAGTTAAATAGACTAACTCTTTTGCCCAAAAAACAATTAAAATAATTTATATCATTACTTTTTTTTGGTTATACTGAGTATCATAATCTGATTTCACAAAAAGTATATTTTCTGGTTTTAAGTCAGTATGGGTAAGTTTATTTCGGTGAAGAAATCGAACTGCATAACATAGTTGATAAGATATGTGTCTAACTTGATCAATGGTGTATGGCTGATAATTGTTATCTTTCTATAAATTAAATATTTTTTAAAATTAATTTTCATACTAAATTGATGAAATACTTACTAAAAAATCAAAGACACTCAAACCTAAAAGCTCAAAACCAATACATACATGGCCACCATACTCAAAGTTATCAATCATCCGAACACAAAGGCTAAAATAATAAATTTATCAAGAGTTATTTTACTGACACTCCAAAAGTAACATTTGAAAATTGACTCATACTTTTTACTCTCAGGATCTTTGGCATTCAGTTTATCCAAAGCATTTATTTCTAAACGAGCAGCTTCTCTATATTTTTCAACATTCTTTATAATTTTAACAGCAGCAATTTGATCACGACTATAACATAAATGTTTAAATGTTAAAAATAAAACATTTGAACAAATGAAGTTAACTGTATTAAATATACAAATATCTTATTTATTTTTATTGAAATATAAATCATAAAAACATTTATTATACTACTACAATTTAAATTATTTTGTCATTAAATAAGTCTGAATAAGTTCTATTATTTATTTAAGAATATTGCCAATTAGGTCAAGAAAGAATTTGTTTTTATTTTGATACAGTTAATTTTTTCAAGGTGTATAAATTAGTAGTAAGTAATTACTTAAAAACTTTTTCATTTAGTTTTAGATACATAGAATAATTTTTTTCACAAATAAGAATATCTTAAAATTAACCTTCCAAATTTTATTACTTACTTTTTTAACGATTTAGCGCTTACAACTTTACCAAAAGTACCTTCACCAAGAGTTTGAATAATTTGATCTGAAATATTTGAAATACACTATATCAATATTAAATAGATTAAAATTGTCTCCGCAGCGAGGGTTACAACTTTATCACATATTTAACTAAAACTGAATAATACTTTTATTTATGTGGTCAGTAAATACAAAAGTATTCCTCTATTAAATAATATAAAACGAAAAAAATCTTTAAAAAATAAAAACAGAATTTATTTGAAAAATTTCCCAATTTTTAGTTAAATACTTGGACAAATTAACTTAAATAAATATATGTATGAATATGTAAGTACTATTTATTACTGCCGAAAACATAAGTAATAGCAATAATTTATTAAGTATATTAACAAGATATCTTGTTAAATACTCCCCAAAAAGTCAAGCAAAATTTTTATAGTATAGTCCATTTTACTAAAAAGAATGACGCCCGCGCTTTCATCCACGATATCATAATATTGTACATTACTGTTTTACTAGATATAAATATTTTTTATGTATGAGAGATTAAGTAATCATTTGAAAATGTAACTGGTTCACGAACATCTATCGGCCAGATTGTCTCCATTTTTGTAAATCAGATGTCCCTCTTCGTCATCCACAATGACTGGACTTCTTGCTCGAGGCTGTTGAGTGATCACACATATTTTGCCAAATTCATACGACGTCCCAATTTGATCATTGTATTTGATGGGTATTGATAATTAGGTGCCCCAGATCACATACACGCGAATTGTTGATGGCCGATTGAATTTCGAACGGGATGTACAATTCAGGTGGTGAACCCATATTCAGCAGTTGCGTGTTTAATCGCCCGCAATCATAAAGACAGAAGGACACAAGGCAAAGGAAAGCCTCGTTAACAACTTATTCATATATTTATAAATTTATATTTATGTTACTTTATATATATTTATTAATAAAATATATACAAACTAACCATAAACAAAATAGTGTGTTGTGTATGTTTGGGTAGAGAAATAATATGATTTATAAAAAATAAATTACCTTTTATATATTTTATAAACAAATGCCACATTTTAATAAAACTACTTTACTTAGTTTTGATGCCAAACTACACAATTTTAAATTATTATAAAAAATGGGTTATTTATTAGGTCCACATAGTACTATATCACATTTTAATTTTAAACAAAGTAAAAATTTTAACATTTAGTCATTATGATATATTTGTATAAGCTTTATTTCGAAATCTGCATGGAATTATTAAAGGTTATTAAAATATTTAATTTATTTGGTGAAAATATCAGATTAAGTTTAACTTCAAAACATACACAAGGACACAAAGATGTGATCAACTTACACCACAATTTGTAGATGAACTAAGAATGGAAGAATATTTTTGCTGGCACTTAGCCAAAGCACTAGGGGTTTCATCATTATTCTCCTCGTGGTCTAAGGCTGAATATTTCATTATTAATGTTTGTATTTCCTTACGTTTAGCCTCGCGCTCTGTTATCACAGGATCTGTATTTTGATCAGATGGGTCAGTAACTGGAGGATTAGATACTACTGGAGCTGTAGGCGGAGATCGTTTTAAAGGACGTATGGAAAGTAACATATTAGGTTTGTGACGACGGTATGGAGTTTTTTCTCGGGGAGTTTGATGAACAAAAGGATAAGCTTTTTCAGATAACAAAACAGTTGTAGCACTTTTAGTTAAAGGTCTTTGTTGTCGTCTATTACGATGAGCATCTAACACAGATAAGTAACGTTCTTCATTCCGTAAAGAATAACCAGATGAATGAAATGGGCTAGGAAGGTATGTAGATGATGATGAAGAGGATGGGATATTATTTCGTGTAGTTAATTCCAATGGTTTTATTTCAGGAGGTTTACGAACAGATTCCGAAGGCCCACGCGAGCGGCCAGTAATACGATTGATAAGATTTGAATATGAATCCGATAAAATTTGAGTAACACTAACAGTCGATGATCGAGTGTATCTTGTACGCCGTTTTTCGGACGGAACATGATCACTCATTTCCGGAAGCATTTCCCGAACTTAAAAAATTTTTTTTTAATAAAAACTTTTAACTACTTTGTTAGAAAATTTGAAACAGCTCAATGTATTTACATGGCTTAAGTTTTGAAAACTGTTGGTCAACCTACAGTGGACCTGGCAAACATGAAAATGGCCCTTGCTGCCATTAAGGCAACCTTCCAAAAAATCTATTTCTGTGTCATCTAAACGATGCTGAAAAAAAACCACGACCTCTTCTGTGTAAGTAAAACATGAATCATACGTCACAAGCTTTGTTGACAATATTGTTTTTCTTACCCTCATAAATGTATAGAAAATATATATTTTAAGGCGATGTAAAATAATATGATACAAATCATAAGAAATTTTTATAAAGAGAAGTACGTATTACTTTAATTTTCTACTCTTTTAATAAATAATCTATATTGCACTCTACATTATAGGAAGATAGTTTTTTATTTTTAAAGCAATGATTCATTTTTTAATAGTATTTTTGAAAATAATGTTGAGCATTCAACTTAGATGTTTACTAGTATTATTATTTTTTAAATATGAGTTAATTTTACACTTAATAGTGTTTATAGCTACCTAATAAAATAATATGAACTAATTTATAATAATGGCAAAATGATCTTAGTAAAAACTTAAATTATTATGACTAAAACTTAGAAGATCTAAAATAACTAGATTATAATTACTAAAATTTATTAACAAAATTATTTTTAATTAACATTAGGAGTGATAAACATGGNTTAAAAAAAAAAAAAAAAAAAAATATGGACTACAAGATGCAAGAGCAAGTAAACTTTTATACTTCTCAAAAAATATCAAAGATACATTTTTGATAATTAAAAAAATTATAGAACTGAACATTATTATTATTAGTAATTTTTCATTAGTAGTTAAGACTTTTAAAATATATTCATTAGTTTAATTAAAAAAAGAAAATTATTTTTTCTGGTGATAGTTTATATATAACAATAATATTCTAAATACATACATCAAAACAAAATATTATTCAAGTTATGTAATGTGACACCATCACAGAAGTAAACATTTTAAATTAAAAAAATACTGACTGGATTTATAGGCCACCACCAGTGTGCATCTACTAGTATGGTGGCAGGCGGTTGGGGTTGTCTGATTCTTTGGATTCTTGCTGAACGAGTACGACTATGTTGTCTTACCATAGCACCTTCGGTGTGGTGCCATGGTGGAACAGGCCGCCGCCTGGAAGTATGTTCTTCGACAAACATACAAGCAGAACGTGAAATGGCCTACTGGAGATGTAAAGATATTTTGAATACCGAGCCAAAAAAAATGAAGAGAGTGTGAGTACTAAATAATTAAAACTATGAAATGATGTAAAATCTGTCTATATTTAGAGAGCACATGTTTGCAAATGCTAGTAAAATTCAATTCAGCATTAAAAATCCCTCTCTTCAAGACTATAGATAAATATATATGACTAATTATAGAGCTAGAATTAAATATTATTTACCAACTAAATTGGATTTTCTTGACACATGTACTGCACATGTTAAAGCAATAGCACTGAGAGTTTATTTTATATACTGGAATATATTAATAGAAAAATGTTTGGCACAGTGCCATTAGAAGATAAACTTGAAATAAAACAAAATCAAGTTATTTTAAAAGGGTGTAAGTTGTATAAAATTAATATGTGGCATTTGAATATAAGTTATATCCAAAAGAGAATTAAAATTTGTTTTACCTAAGAATATTTTGTTATTAAATAATACTGACCTTAGAATGAGATCGATCTTTGTGTCTATGATGTCTATGGTGCATCTTTTCATCTCCACTCCCTGGAGATTGATGACGTCTTGGTCGACGACGATGACTACTTGAACCTGGAGATCTTCGATGGCTACGTTTATATCGCCGTTCTGCACTTGTCCCTTGATCATGTAATCTAGAACGGTTACTACGTTCATTACTAGAAAAAATTACATTTTGTGATATTAAACTGGCTTTTATCAATTTATTGTTTTGAAAAATACTAATTTAACAGTAATAAAATAAACAAATTACACATTATAATAAATCTTGATAGTATTTACATGATGTGTTATTATTATGTAAGTGACAAAAATAGATACTTATGATATAACAAACAATTTTTTCAACACTTAGTAGTTGAATAAATTAATAAGATTTAACAGTAATTACTTACTCATAAACTATGTACAAATATAAATATTACGGTTCTGGACTTTAGTTAGTAATAATAAAGATAAATGGTATTAGTAGACCTTATAAGATAAGCCTCGGGATATGTGAGTCAGTTTAGATAAAAAATGCCCTATGATACAAATATAAAATGTTATTTATCTAAAAAGAGTTCAAAAATGTAGATTATCAAAGTTATAAAAGTATAATAAAATTAACCTTTATGTATATATATATCAATTAATAAAGAAAATTACCTATTAAAAAAAGGGAAGTTAAAAATTTTTTTCTATTGAATATGAACAACACATTCAATAAATTATTATTTTATTTAATAATTAATGTAGTATACCTGTACATTAAAATAAGTTCTGCAACAGTAGGCATACTCTCTTAAAAATACAAGATTACTAAAAATGTTAAAAAGGGTGTTTAATTTAATGCTTACATAATATATTAATTGCAAGGAAAATTATTATGGACTTCATTTAATCATTTGTTTAAAAACTACACTAAGAAAAAATAAAAACATAATGTATATATTCTTGTAACCTTGTTGACTGTAACAGTGATACTATAACACAAGGTTGTACCATAGACTATTTAATAATACACATAGTTATGGACATTATACATTACTACTACTATTTATACCAAATATGGTAATGTACTTGTCACAAGAAACATATTGTTTTTGTTATTCAAGCATGTGTATTATAGCTTCTAGAATACTAAAGAAAGTATAAACAAACCTTCATATAGTAATCATACTCATTAATAATAAGTAACAATAAATATTTGCCTAAATTATGATTTTTTTTTTTTAATGCTAAATATCTGCTTATTTAATAAATATTAAAAAAAAATAAAAAATGAATTCAATAGTTGCATAAACTATGATCCTTAAATATATAAACAAATGTTTGAAAATAATTCTAATTGATGAATTATGTATTATATAGAACAAAATAGATATTTTAATTGGTAGTGTCTTTTTTGTGGTTGGAACTCAAACAATGAAATCAGAGAAATAAATATAAACAAATAAATAAATAACCAAATTCTACCATAAAGAATTTTTTCTATATTTAACTTATTCCAGAGTTTCTAAATCTATTTACATTTGAGATCCAACAATAAATTATAAAAATTTTCAATACTACTTGACCTAATAATTTTTGTTCCGTCAAATTAATAAATGTTATTTTATTTAAATAGAGTACTATAGTATATAGAGGGAGATATCAAGAACTACAAAATTATGAAAATTTTATACTTTTTTTAAATAAAAAAATTAATAAATTTTTTTTTTTTATAATGGAAGGTTTTCTAAGTATAACTAATAAACTAACTATATCCTATCAAAGTTGTTAAAAGTTAAATATTTTCAAATTCTCTAACTGTATTATGATTTACTAGGTAAATAAAAAAAAAATTCATAATCAGTTTTACAAAAATAGATATACCTTATTTATGTGTTCTCAGAAAATAAAAAATTAAGTCAAATTATATGATAGGTATAATCTAATTTTAAGAATCATAGGGGTAAAATCATCAAAATTCCACAATTTTTCTGACTATTTAAAAATAATAATAATTAAGTTTTCTTAAATGTGACAACAATCATAACTACTAATGATATATAGACTATTACAGGTGGATAAATAATATCATAGTTAAATATATATACATATACTAAATTTTATAATTCTCAATGTTACAAATGTTAAATCCATTACTGAAATAAGAAACAGTAATAGTCACATATTAACTAAGTATTATCATTTAATTTAATAGAAAACTTTATTTTTTCCTTGAAATTTAAAATAATAATAATAAATGATTTGAACTACTAATTGATAATATAAAAATGTATTTACAAATGTAAATAAAAAAACAAAAAATTGAATAGAATTTTTTATATTATTGCCTGATTATGAACAAAAAAGATGGGAAATATTTTACAACTAAAGAATGACATTCTAGAAGGTGTCTAATTAATTTAAACATTGTTATCTATTGCAAAAGTGATAGGAAATTAAAAAGTCAGAATAAATATAGTTCTTACTACTTTTTCGTTAAAATTTAAAAATTAACTTACTGATTTATTTATAAGCCCTCAGATCTCATAATCAATATTCATTGAAATGTTTAATACTTAATTGAATTTATTGAGAAAAATTACACAAGTTAAAGTTTTATTTAAAAAAATTAATAATAAAGAAAAAATCAAATTAATTAAATTCAAGTAAGCAATATTTAAATCTCACTATAAAGTTTGTCTTCATAGGGCAAAGTTAATGTAGATCAACCAGATTTTTCTTGGTGGCCTTATTTTATGATAAGGTTGCTCTAAATGCCTTACTTTTACTTAATAGATCTCCAAATTATAATTTACCTATACAGTTTTAAAAATTCTTATCAACCCATGTTGAAGTAACTATTAAGTTACATAAAGAGATATAATTTTATCAAAAATGGTAAGTAAATAAAAGAAAAACTTGATAAAACTTTTATAGTATTCAATAAAACATTATCTTTTAGAAACTTCTAACAATTTAATTTTAATAGAGTAATTTACATATTGAGATATTTTTTATTTTAATATTGGACACAGCATTTATGACAAGAACATTGTGGTCAGAATACATAATAAGTTATGGAGATATTTATTTGTAATGTATTTATTTTAGATATGTAATTAGGTTCACCACTAGCCGGCCTGGGAAGCCAGAATAGTGACAGAAATAAAAATCTTGTTGGTACCACGGGAGGAGGAAGCCTCACCAGCGACCAGTGTAACTCATATTATGCTGGACGCAGGTGCCCTCCAAGGTTGAGGAGCCTACCTCGGCTGAAACGTGGTGGCTGCAGGACCGGTGCTAGATAGATATCCCCAAAATCACAATACCTTTTGGTAGACCGGACCCAACAAGCACTTAACTGTTTTACGGCCGGCTCAAGAAAGATACGAAAACCCTTAGGGGAACCGGTGCTGGTGTTCTTTAGAAGACATTCTGCGCTGGCTGTCTATATGGCTGCCCACTGCAGTAATTCCTATCCCCCCCGTTAATAGCGCACAGCGCCAAGGCACGGACGGTATCTGTAGGCGCAAGCCAACAAAACCCAGGGAACTAGTGTCTGTATGTAATAATATTTAAATATTTTTTGGACGAACATAAAAAAAAAATTTAAATCCATGAATATTTATTTATGAAACAAAGCTTTATGAATATAGTTTTAAATATCTGTTTATAATTAATTAGTAAATAAAAGTCATAGAGTTGAATTTTCGACTTGATCTTGTCATTCATGTAAATTTTGTTTTTTATTTACCGATTTATGTCAATATCTTGCTAATAGTTGATATATATTTATAAACATAAATACCTATATGATGAGCTGTATTCATCACCATCATCTACATAACGGCGTTTGCGTCTAGTAGATCTACTTCTTGACCTAGATAAGGATTTTTGAGGCTCATAAGAGCTGGAATTTGCTCTTCTAGATACTCTTGGCATCTAAAAATTAAAATTCAACATGTCAAGTATAATTATAATTGATATACTTTTTATTTGGTTATGATATCATAATTAGCACAAGTTAAAAGAGTATTTATTACTTATCTTTAATACTCATATTAAAATATTTGCATTATTTGATGATGAAAATTTTTTAAATTAATATTAGTATACATAAAAGTATACTTTAATAAATTTGAGAATAATATAGAATAATGTAAAAATATTATGGATTTATTAAGCATAAATTAAATAATCTTTGATTTTCAAGTATAAAAGTTAGATTATAATTTTTCAAGTGCTATAAATTGTACAAGGTGATCAATTTATTATAAATCACTTAATTACTTGCAAAATAAATACAATATTAAAACAAAATGTTTGATTTTTTAGTTGCATATATTTCTTGATTTATCATATATTAATTACTTTTTATAAATAACAGTAACATTTATTAACTTATATAGGGTACAAACTTTATTTTTTTAAATGGCAACATACATACTTAACAAGTTTAAAAAATAGAAAATGATAGATCAATAACAACTTTTGGGCCCGAATTTATGGAAATTTAAAAATATGGGTTGAGTGAGAGGAGCAATTAATGATTGATAAATTAAAGTTTATAACTTAAAGAAAAATAAATATTTAATTATTAAATAAATAAATGGCATATGATAAAAAAATTATTTTGTATAAAGGTAAATTTTTACCATATTTTGGGATAAGAATCTTAAATTTACTGTTGTTAAAAATATCCTGGTTAAATACGTGGAATTTATGTACTTACAATTAGCTGCCACAATAATCCCGACGTTGATCTGATGAAGTCGAAAATTTCAACTGTTTAAAGATTTATAAATATTAGATAGAAACCGATGATTAAACTATAACTTAAAATGACTTAATCAAATTTATAAAAAATTTTAATTAGAATCACAGAACACAAAAATTTCATGAGGTTTAGGAGCACATGTAAATTGTAAACATGATTTTTAACAATTCATATAGTCGATTTGTGCAAGACGTAAAAACATTAAACAATCTAAATCCAAAATGGTTACGAGTAATGAAATAGCCAATGAGGATCATTAAAACGTTGTTGCCAACCTAAACTAAATATTTTATTTTATACTGGTAACGTTTTTATTTTTTATCATAAAATTATAGATAAATTTACCAACTATGATAATATTTACACGTTATTCAAAAGAATGTGCAGACATAAATGTTTTTTTGTCTACTGTTTCTCTAATATAAAACGCCTGGAAATTTAATAAATTCAACTTATGACTTGTTTACTTAAGTAATATGTCATCTGAGGAGGAACTAGAAAATGGTTCTAATAATAGTGAAAGCATGGATAACAGCACTCCGAGTTCTGAATATGAAGAAGATGATGAGGATGTTGATGATGACACTGAAATGATGGATGATGAATCGGGAGGGAACATACTTTCCGATGAAAGTGAAATAGAAGATGATAAATATAATGATGACAAAAACGATCTAATTGTTGAAACAAAGTAAGCTATAAAGCTAAATAAGTAAGCTACAAATTAAAAGCAAAAATTATTGTTGAATTTTTTTTTAGTAATGAAAATGACATCGAAAAAGGAAATGCTATTCGCACTCAACTTAGTAATATACATTATAATATCTAAATAAGCATTGTGATTTTAGAATTTAATGACTATTTTTTTTTAGCTATTTATGATAATTTATTACTTGCTAGAATAAAATTACAAAAATGTTTAGCTGCAGCTAATCAACTTCCTAAATATAATAGTGAACTATTGGTTAGTGAATCTATTAATAATGATGTTGTAATAAAATCATTACAACAATTTTTAGAAACATTGTTTGATTTAAAGATTAAATTATTAACAAAAAACAGTAACTTTATGAAAACTATGTAAGTATATATTTAATATAAATGTATAATTACATCATCATAAATGTTTTTAATTTTTAGAGAAAAAGATGATATATTGTTTGATAGAGTGAAGTGTAAAGATTTTGATAAAAGTTTAAAAGAACAATATGATATTTTTAAGCCATTTAGAGATGATACTATTAGGTTTTGGAATGAGCGTACAAAAATTGCTTCAGGAAAAGCAGCTAAATCTGATTTTTCTGCTTTTGATCAGCCTACTTTAATGCAAATTGAACAAATTATGGCTGACAAAAATAGATTAATAGAAAGAACTCGTACAAAACGTTCCAAATATAAAATTGTAGATGATTCAAAATCAACAAACAATGATGTTGATCCAGAGATATTTGATGATGATGATTTTTATCATAAATTACTTAGAGATTATATTGAAAAAAAATCTGCAGATATTACAGATCCCAGTCAACTTGGAAAGTAAGTTCTTGTATTAAGATAAATCTTATATCTTAGTAGGATTATTTTTATTAAAATTAAAAATTTATCAGAGATCATTAATATAAATCATTTTAATATGTAAATGTATAGAATTCAATGTTGTTAATAAATTAAGCTACATATTTTGTGTATTGAATTTTTCAAAAATTAATTACAATGAAATGTTGCATACACAGAATTCTATTGACTATTCAGTAATGTCTCTCTTGAAAATTGTTTTTTGTTATACATACTGATCTCCCTGATAGGTCTTGAATTATAAAATGATTTTCAATATAAAATTTTCTTATACATTTTAGTAACCTAATATTTTATCAAATGAATGACTGAAAGGTGTTTTACTTCATCCATGCGTTTTTATAACACGCATTGGTTTTTTTTTTTTTTACAACAGTCTTAAATGGTATTGAAATATTAAATTTTATTATGATAAAATTACCTTGTAAGATTTAAGATTAATCTAAAAATTTGATAAAATCTTTTCTCGAAAAAAGATGATATCTAAAATCTAAAACCCAAAGAGATACTTAATTTTGATTAAGAGACAGAACTCTTTGAATATATATAGGTGTGGTTTAGTAGGACGTCCTATATATATATAGTTTTAGGTATTTAACAATGGCAATAATATTTTAGTAGAATCACTTATATGAAGAAACTAAATATAATTTGGTAGAAAGTATGCACAATGGAGGTCTGAGTGCATGGGCAGTTTTTGCCTACCTTTATAACAATCTAAACTAAAACTAAGATTTATAGTTTATTTAATATATTTTATTTAACTTAATTTATTCAACATTTCATTTTCATTGGTTTTTTTTCTGTATACATTAATAATATTAATATTGTTTACTTTTAATTATTGTATAAAAGAAAATTTTTTTTTTTATTTTTGTGAGGATTCCATTTTATAACTCAACATAAATTAGAAAGTCAAATCTATTTGAATTAATTATAATTTTATAATTATAAATTTACTAAAAATTTTTCTTTTTAATTTCAGGCAATGGTTACAATTGCAAAAACTGAGAAGTAAAATNTTAATTATAATTTTATAATTATAAATTTACTAAAAAATTTTCTTTTTAATTTCAGGCAATGGTTACAATTGCAAAAACTGAGAAGTAAAATGAAACATAAAATTGATACTAGATCTACAAAAGGTAGAAAACTTAGATATACAGTACACACTAAATTAATAAATTTCATGGCACCTAATGATCAATCACCATGGTCAGATGAAGCTAAACAAGATTTATACAATTCATTGTTTGGAAAAAAAATAATGCAAAATGAATAATACACCTTATTCTGTAAAACAGTTTACTTTTTTTAAGTTTTCAATATTAAATTAATAAAATATAATAATGGATTTACTTTATTATAATACAGCAATAATTCAAAATGATATGTAAATAACTCACAATTTTACAATAGATGTGTTCACTTGCTTATTTTATTCAAAATGAATAATTTTAAACACATCAAAAGAATAAGTGTTAATTGGTTAGACCATAAATTTGATGTTAATTAATATTATTGTGAAGAAAATTTAATTTCTGGAAGAGCTGGCAAAATGCTCTTGTTAAGGTCTTTAAAGTAACGATGTTGAAGAGCATCCCTGGCATTAATTCGCTTACTTGGATCATAAATTAACGTTTGCTAAAAATTAATATAGTATATTAAAAAATTAAAAATAATATGATGTTTGATGTAATATACTAGTAGTAAATCTAATCCGTCATTGTTCAAATTAGAAACTGAATCTTTTAAAAGATTGTCGCTCCATTTGGGAAATGTTGGTTTGTAATCTTTAAGATCTGAAACTCCTGGCCATGTTTCTTCACTGGGAGTTGTTAAAATCCTAGAAACAGTATGATTTTTTAATAAGAAATACTATATAAGTACCAATAAATAAATAGCAGTTGATATTAGTAAAATAATATAATAACTTTAAGTAATTTTATAATAATTGACATATTTTAGACTGCTAAAAAACAAGTCTATTTTGATCATTTTGTTAATATTAGCCACTCAATTTCTTTTAAAATAATATTTAAGTAAGAGAAGCCTCTTTGGTAATTTTTAATTAAATATATATATATATATATTTTTTTTTTGTGATGAATTAATTATTAAGTATTTTTTTTAATTCATCTCTTGTACATTATAAGGACTTCAGCTTTATTTTTTAAATGGCAACATACATATTTAACAAGTTAATAAAATAAAAAAAATTTAATTAAAAATCTATTGGTTGATAACAACTTTTGATCATTTTCTGGGAAGTTATAACAATTTTAAAATATAGAGTAGAGTGAAGTATAGGTTATGTTGTTTTTATCATTACATAATACTTTGTCATGCTATTCCTTCACTCTATATTGAAAAATGTTAATGACTTGGGAAATAATATTTAAACATTTTTTTTTTGATCAGCCATTTTCTTATTAGATCATTTTTATTTTATATGTTAATTATTTAAAAATCACCTATATATTATTTACTAAGTATCAAATTTTTTATTTAAAATTTATACATAAATACATTTTTTAATTTCAAATATGAATAAAAATAATTTTTTTCTCATATTACAACAAAATTACTTTTCTTGTTTTTTTCCCTTTTACAATGATAAACATAAAAAAGATTGTTTATTTTCCTAAAAATGTAATTAATTATTATTGCTCTTTTACTTATGTACCAATTAATTCTTTTATAAAAATAATTTTGCTATTGAAATAATGATTGAGAAAATCATGTGAATATTAAAAAATTTATAAAATGAAAATACAGAATTTATATCATGTGTTTTTAATTAAGATTTTGATAAAATAACTTAATTATACTTAATGGAATTTACCTGAAAATACGAAATAGTTGATCAATTTCAGAATCTCCTTGAAATAAAGGTCTACCATGTGCCATTTCAGCAAATATACACCCTATTGACCAAATATCAACAGGGCATCCATATCGTTGTGTATTTAATAACACTTCTGGTGCTCTGTACCACAAAGTTACAACCTTAATAAGAAAATAAATATTTATCTTCATCTTAATTACTCACATTACAAAAAATATCAATTAAATTTTATATACTTCATGAGTGTAGACACGAATTGGCAATCCAAAAGTACGGCCTAATCCGAAATCTGCTATTTTAAGAATATTATGTTTAGTGTCAATCAAAATATTTTGAGGTTTTAGGTCTCGATGAAGTATTCTCCGTACATGGCAATAGTATATAGCAACTAACATCTGAAATAAACAATTAAGTTTAAAATAAAAACAAACGTTTCTTCTCTTGTATGTAAATGTGTTAACGAAAAATAAGTACTGATTAGTAATTAGTTATAATATAAGTATTATTGTTTACCTGATAAGTAAAAGATCTAGTTGTACCTTCATCTAAATGCTTTTTTGGTCTAGAATCAATAAACTTTTTCAAATCCATAGGAACAAATTCAAATACTAAATATAGCCGTGATTCATCCATAAGAATTTCTCGCAAACTATAAGAAGCAAAAAATGGTTAAGTGTTGAAAACATAGATAATTAAAAATCATTACTTCACAATGTTTGGATGGTTGAGTTCTTTTAATATACTTATTTCTCTTATAGCAGTAGCTGGTATTCCTTCATCTTCCATTTCCATTCGTATTTTTTTAACGGCAACTATTTCTTTTGATGATCGTTCCATACATTTATATACTACTCCATAAGTGCCTTCACCAATTTTTTCTAATTTATCATAAGCATCCATCTTGCCAACTCTAAAGGAATAATAAATGATATATTAATAAGTATTACAAATTTTAGTATATCTAAAAGAAAATAATATAATAGTAACGCTTAATTCTTAATTAGAAAAGTTTTACCAAAAGATTTATAAACTTAATAAAAAAGAAAATATATAACAGTAGATCATAATTTCAGAACTTACCAGTATATTAATCTCTGAAAAAAGAAACAATTATTAAAAATTCATGAAAACTATTTATAATGTTTTAAAATTTGTATTTATCTAAATTCTAACCGATATTAATGGCGGTTAAATTTTAGAGACAAAACAGTTGTTTTGAGAAATTCAGGAGTGCTCAAAATTGAATTTTTATTTTTTCCATGAAAAATCAGTAAGCTATTTTTTAAATTTTACACAAGTTATGTCGTTGGTTAACAGCTGATTTGTGTTGGATAATTCAAAATTTATTTTCACTTCAGATATACAATACACTATGTTATTATTATTTTTTGTGTATTGTTATTACAAAAAAGTTTTTGTTGGATACCTAAAAAATAAAGTTTAATGTTTATATAATTGACAAACCAGTTTTAATGTCACAAATAAGGTATGAATCATTTTGTAATATTATACATATGATTGATTTTGTGTTACATAAAATAATGAACACAATTATAGGCAAATCACACAAATATTAAGAAATCTAATAATTCATTTTTTTCTAATTTAATAATACATATAATGCGTAACATTCATAAACTAATAAAATAATATATACAGCGAGGTAAGTATTCGGACATCAAAAATGTATTTATCTATCGAATTACCATTGTCTTACAGAGCTTTATACATGAACAACATCCTTAGATAAATGTTTAAATGATTAATTAAAACATACTAAGGTCTGTAAGACTATGGAAATTTAATGGGTTAATTATTTTTTCTAGACGATGTCCGACTATTTGCTTGACTCACTGTACATATGAATACATCGGTATAATTATATCTCTATAAATGACTAGTAGATAACATTTTTTCTGGAGGCCCTTCTCCATTCTAAAGGGAGTAATTATTAATTAATTCGATAAATTTACATAATTTTTTTTCTACTCTCTTTTTTAAAAAAAAAATAATTGGGACAAGTATAGATGATATCTGACTGTGATTAAAATTACCATCATAAGAAAAGCTTCGAAACAAATCTGTAAATAGTGTTTAATTTTAAGAAATTGGTGGACTATTCCAAAGGAAAATTGAACTACTATATCCTAATTTTGAATAATAAGTGCTGAATTACAAGGAATTTTCATCACAGACCAAAATATACTTTTCTAAATCAATTTTTGCGCCGATTTCAAATCTGTAATTAGATTTTTTCTACTACCTCTATTTTGAGATTACTACTTATTAGAAAACGAGTATTTTCAAATGAAAAAATTAATTAAAAACAAAAAAAAATTTTTCTTTTTAAAAAGTTATAGCAAGTTAAGTTGTACATATAAAATGAAAAATTTTGACACAAAATTTGTGAAAATTTACAAGCCATTTGTACGTAAATGATAAATCGTCAGGACAATTTTTTTTATTTACAGTACGTAATACAAGCTTTAATTTAACATATGATTAAAGGAAAAAAGATGAATTTTTGTTTAAAAGTTGCTATTTTATTCCCCCAAAAAATTACCAAATACATAAATAAAACTAGTTAAATTTTTTTAGCTTCGATGCGAAGCTGAGAAGGTATTAATTTTACTATGATGTGTTTTTTTCTGTTTTCACTTATTCTCAGCTTTTACCAGATCAATTTCTTTCAAAGATACGCCATAAGATCATAAATCGTATCCAGTTGAGACATTGCCCTTAAAAATCAAAAAGTTTCCCTCACTCCTTGTAAATGTATGTCATATTTAAAAAATATGCAATTTTCGTGTTAAAATTTTCGATTATATATTTCTTTAACTGTAAATTGCTATAACTTTTTGAAAATTGTATGGATCAATACAATTTTTTTTCATAAGTACTAATATACTCGTTTTTTTACAAATAAGTAATAATCTCAAAAATGAGGTAGTATAGTAGAAAAAATCTAATTACAGATTTGAAATCGGCGCAAAAATTGATTTAAAAAAGTATATTTTGGTCTGTGATAAAAATTCATTGTAATTCAGCATTTATTATTCACAAGTAAGAATTTTTAATTTTTTTTAAGTATTCCATCAAACTTTTTAATTTTCATGCACGATTACCACAATAATAACAACTACTTTATAATTTTTTATAATTTCTCCGTAAAAATTATAATACTAAATTATTAAAAATCAATTTCATACAATATTTAATTGCTATTATAAATATTTATTCTATATAACACTTATAAATTGTAAAACCTGTTATCAGGATGTAAATAAGGAAACAGGAGTTCATTCTACTTTTGATATAAATCTAAGAACTATTAATCAGCAATAATGAGGGAAATAAGAATTCATTTTGCTATTGGTATAATCCACCAATTTCTCAAAATTAAACACTTTCTACAGATTTGCATCGAAGCGTTTCATATGAAACGGTAATTTTAATCACTGTCAGATATCATCTATATTTGTCTCAACTTTGTGCACGTCAACACTATGTCGTGACCTCTCTGTGCTACTGTTATTTTTTATTTTATATACATATATTTTTATTGTTAATTTATTTTTGTTTATGTAAAATAATTTTAACCCTTGAATTATTATAATTATAATTATTATTAATAACATACGCGCGACTAAAATGTCATTTTTGAAGCGACTAAATTCTTTTTTCTTCTCCAAATATATTTTTGTATACCAACACTAATAATTATTTTTTATTTTTGGAGTGTTTATTCTATAAATTGTCCTCTGCTTTATTAGTTAATTTTAAAACATTGCTCGAGCTATACATCTTTTAACTTGAATAAAAATTAGAAAGTGTTTTTTGAACACTAATTGAAATGTTAATCTATAACTTATTAATAGTTATTTTTATTTTATTTAGAGTTAATAACTTTTTTCGATTTTGTTATATACGGTAAGGAAAAAATAAATAAATATCTTTGGGGTTTGTACAGTGAGCACTAGCAACACTTGTTGCCAAGCCTTAAAAAATCAGCCTCATTATCATTTAAAGACTATGTTTGTCTTCGCAAATATTATTTTAAGTGAGCAAACTAAGTTATGTTGGACGTTTTACTTTTATACCTTTTATTAATTTATGATTGAGACTTGTACGTTTAAGTTGATGTGCGATAAAGTAGTGCGCTTTTGTAGTTAAAATATCGCGCGGCGTTCAACAGCCATCAACAAGTCGGGTGGCACGAAACACACAAGCGCATACGGCATAGCGGCCTCGCGTTACTATGGGAACGCGGGTAGCGGGTGAGTAGTCGTCGCTACCATTCGCATCGGGCGGCACGTCGTGTCAGTCGTGTACGTGTACGCGCGCGTGTTTGCCGCGGTAGTGTGGCCGGTTTTGTTCCCTTCTTAAGCGGTGCGTGCGACACCCCCGACGTTGGTGTGGGTTTGTGTGGACAGTAACTTTGCATGCTGTCGGCCCGCCGCCGTGTGGTAGTACTCACCAGATGGGTTTGCTTCGGACGACGAATGTTTGACACCGCTAAAGTTTTTACGGGGTTTTTTGAAAATCTTAACGCACCACCGCTGTAACATATGACCGCGGCCGATAGATCTCCGTTTTCAATTAAATTCGAATAATTAATTGTTTGGCGGTTATCTCATAGGGTGAGTGTATTTTAAAATATCATTAAAAATGAAGACTCGATCAAACGATCGCTACTACTTGCTCCCTTATAAATCATAATAGTAGTTATGCTATTAATTAATTTTCTCCCTCACGAACTAGGTCGTTTGGTATAAATTTTTATTTCAAAATTATGCTACACTCTTTTAAAACTAATTACAATTAGTGGTGTTTTGATATTCTCTCATTTTTTCCGCTCCTGTATCAGCTGCAAGCACCGATCCATCAAAAAGGTTGCAAAAAATAAACGTATAGAGAAACGTCTCTAGACGTCAATCCGCGGTCAAGTAACAAATAAAAACCGTAGCTATCATTAATGACATAAAAAAACGAATAATTCGAATTTATCGAGCAACATGTTTTTCTAAAAACATAAACGATTGTTCGTTTGAGCTTAATCGAACGTCAATAATTTTGGAAGACGTTTAATTCGTTTGCAGGTGATTTCATGCGAAAAAATTATTTATCAGCTTTACATGGACATGTCCTAAAATGATGCGTGTGTTATCTATTTTCACCGTTGTCCGCCGGGCCAGCCGCGGCCAACGCGCGTTACGAATTACAAAAATAAAACCACACGCTGAGACAAATATGACGACGTCACGCGTATCATCGGCAGAAGTCGCAACGTGCAAATAGACGGGTCGTGTAGAGTGCCCCAGTATATTAACGCGCTTAATTTAGAATATACTGATATCAGAATATTGAAGTAAAAAGTAATTGATATTTGTTTAAATTATGAATTTAGAAATTTGATATTTTAAGTTTTTGCATCTTAATTATAATCAAAACCGTACTTATTTCTACTATTATTACTTGATCATTAAAATGTATATCAGCTGTGTTTATTTCTGAACTTTTATTAGGTTAATTTTTCATTCCGAGTAACCTCTTTGTGTATTGGCACACAAGGAATTTTTTTTTCTATTAATTATTGGCTTCTTTATAACTGTATAAAGGTGTAGATCAGACTTTTTGGGCATAACGGCACTTCATTACTTAAGGTATACAAAGGAATATTCCTTCGTTTGTTTACTGATGCTCTCTAAACAGTCTTCATATTTTCACGATCTGGAATCTATTTTCTAAATAATTTCCTGGATTTAATCTTAGGTTGCCTTTATTTCAACCCTGACTGGACTAAAAATGTTTTCAATTAAGTTCTTAATCTAATTATTAGAAACTATAATAGATATATCCAATTTAATGAAATAGATTTAACTTTGAACTGTTATTTTACATTTTTATGAAGATATGTTTTCATAGAGAATTTCACCAACATTTTTCATTCAAAATTAATTAATTTAATTTTGTAAAACTTTCCCGATTTTTTTGATTTTATATAAATGTATGTGAATTCATATTATAATTGTTACCAGATTAATATTATCATTTCCATGTCAACACGATCGTCGGGGATTGAAAATAGTGACATGGTACGGGAATAGAATCCGCGATTCAAAGCGTCCTTTAAGACAAACCTACCACTAGGTCACCGTGCACTTTAGACTCTGAACCTGTAACACCTCCATATAGGTTGATTACGTGATGTGCGGTTGAAGGAAACATGGTATTGTGTCAACATAGTATCTCTTATTAAGGGGTTAGGGGTAGTCGGAGGGATGAAAAAATGAGTATTTTGAAAGTAGTGTAATTTATTTTATACAACAAATAATATAAAGTTGTTATATTGCGTTTTAACTATATTTGACAAAAAATAAAAACAAAATTTATTGTAGACCAGATTATGGTTATATTTGTTGGACTCTCTTTCAATAGTCAGTAACCACTGTAATTCAAAAACCACTTGACGGATTTCAATGAAATTTATACAGCTTATTAAAAGTATAAAAAACTAGTGCCTAATCAAAAACAATTTTTTTATTGAAAATTAAATTTTTTATAAACAATAACTAGTAAATAGGATTCCTTAAAAATCCACGATTAAGTTATAAGAGTCAGTAATTTCTTTTATTAAAAATCTTCCGTCAGGCATTAAATTATCTAATCATATAATGATTTTTTTGTTTGAAAGATTTTATATGAATCAGTAAAATTGTATGATGGTTCAATAAATATTACCATAACTCGGTCTATATTATTTTTGAATTTTTGTTAAATTAAATTAAAACGTTTAACAATAATATTGTATTATTTTTTAAATTAAACTACCATCTAAACAAATGATTTAAAATACTCATTTTCCATCCCTCTGATTATCCCTAACACTTAAATATATCTCTAACTTATTGTCGGTATAAATTAATATTTTAGTATATTATTGCTCAGTCTTATAAAATCTATTATTCAATACATTTTCAAAAAAAGTTTTTTTATTATTCAACCTTTTGGTCTTTTTATTTATCGATCAAATAAAATTACAATATAAAAGAAGTTAAAAGAATATTTAATATAGGTACGTAAAAATACTACAAATCAAATACTTAATGTTTGTAAAGTGAATGAATGTTTAACTGAACAAAAAATGTATTTTATTAAAACCTTATTACATTTTATTTTTTGCAAAATAAAATAAAAAATTGCTGGATTTGTTTATTTATTTAATATTATTTTTCTCTTTATTGTAATTAACTTTGGTCATCTTATTAAAAGTTGACCAAAATGTGGTAACACTTAGTTAAGTAAAATTGATTTAATTCATTTATTCAGCTATTTTCAGTAATAAAATGTATAAGAGTTCAGTTTTTAAAAAATTTAATTAAGATTTGACTCGAGACTTATGATTTATAAACAGTCATACTCTTTGAAGTTAGGAAAGTTTCTTATGAATCGACACGTCAGAAATAATAATATGCATACGGTCTAAGAGTTAAAAAAGTTTCATTTACTTTTATAGTTATAAGTTATATGATATAATTATAAATACATTTTTCACTATAGATTACATAGTTAAATACTTATTAATTATTTATTTTATGGTAGTAAATCCTTTAAATGAGTTCACTTAATATATCACGTGATTAAAAGACTGTTTTCTATCGAAGTTAATTTACATTATGATGTCTTGCTACCACTAACGTGCCGCATTGAAAGTAGAAGCCATAATAAAATATACAATATCAGCAATGCACGCAATGCATTAAAAAGATACAGAAACAATCTCTGCATTGGTGTTTGTCAAACGTTACTCTACATAGGCCATTAAAATACTGCACTTGGTTATAAAAATTGGTTTTATAAATTCAATTTTTTGAAGTTATTAAGTAATAAAATTAGTCTAGATCATCAAAATGCTAAATTATGATCATATTTCTGAATGAATGTGTTTTAGAGTAGTTTTATTACAATTGATAAATTTAGATAATTTGCATCAAGAAACATTTATAATAATAAAAAATAAAGGGGTAATCTAAAATATTTTAATTAAGTTCTATAGATTACAGTAAAATTATTTAGTTTAACCCATCAACGCCGAGAATTATTTTTTTTCAAACTTTCAATTTTTTTTACTAAAAACAGATTAATATACAACACAAAAATAAAAAAAAATTATTTTTAAATTTTTTGAAAATACGATTTCTGAGATATTGAGTGTCACCATATGGGTACACTCGGCTTTTACCTATTAAATTATTCGCGCGATAAAAATAGCAATACGAATGTCACCATATGGGGACGCCAGGCGTTGATGGGTTAACTGATTATTTAGTTGTTTTTTTTTTTTATAATAAATAATATTTTATCGATGTGATGAATAATAAGATAAACAAGGAAGATCATTGTTGTTTATTTTACTTGGGAAATTATTATGAATGAAAAAATATCTAAATGGTTGGACAAAAGATCATATAATATACATAGAAAAACATCTTTATTTTTTAATAAACAGATTTTCTTTTTTAATAAAAAAAAGTTTCAGAGTTTTTATTTTTTTCAGTTTAAAATAATATTTAAATAGGAATTAATGGCGGTCAAATGGTGGGGAATATTTAAATCGAATCTACAAATAATGTAACTCAAAATAAAATAAAACTTAGATGTAAAATACAGAGGGTATATGGAGAGTTATTATTTTTTGTTTTAATAATAATCGTATTAATAATAAAATTTCTTGGCTTATGAGTACAAGTGTTTGTAAGAAAGATAAAAAATGATTGAAAAATGTAGATATCTTTATTTATTGATATGGTATTTATCGTGATCAGTTGTCACACTCTTTAATATCAATAATGACATTAGTATTGACAGTTACAAATAATAGGTGGGTTTGAGTCACATCGTGTGTTTACCCAGAGTTGTATAGTGTTTATTTACCCCCAACTTAATTCCAATAAAACCACGTATCAATGATCTAACTATGTCAAATAACTCCGTACAAATATTATTAATTTATTAAATTTACTTAATGTATTTCTATATTATTGATAAATAATTGTTCTTTTTGTAACCCTACTTAAACTAAGTACTCATATAACTTAATTATAAATCTTATAGATTTTTGATGAAATGATTGTTTTCTTACCTTGATATTTCCAGTAAATACTATAAAATAAATACATGTTCTTTTTTTTATGAAATCACAATATGGACAAGGCGAATCACTTCTTAGGCATAATTTTGATGAGTTCAAAACGAAGTGTGACGAGATTGACTGACCATAATTGAGAGTAACTGAGAGCTTTTGTGAGTGATTGAACAAATCTGAAGGCGACTGATTGAACCCTCAGTCAAAAAGACCAAAATTATTTGGGCTTTTTATATTAATTTTGATGATATTTTTAAAGGTAAGAATTGATCACCGACGCTACCATTATTTCTTTATTAATCGTTTTGTAGTAATTTATTACATTTTTGTCAATAATTGTCTAAATTTCATAATGTTCTACCGTTTATTCCATAATATTTTACACATTATTTATTACCTTATGAATGACACATCACTATTATATATTGTTTATTATTTCCTGTTTCTTCTATATAATTAATATATGTTTTTTTTTATACAAAATTATATTGGTATATTTTTAAACATTCAAAAGTATATATGAAGCTTATTGTTATATTTTAATAGATGTCTTGTCATTTGTTTTTTTAATTAAAATTTTATATAGTGCATTGTAATAATAATGATATAATGTGTATACAGGGTGTTCAGTAAGTCAGGAAACGGGTAACCAACGGGTATTGTTTGTAACAATGAGAACAATAGATACCCGTTTCCTGACTTACTGAACACCCTGTATAATAACACATATTCTCCTATCACCTATTATTTAACAAAATCAAACATTTAAAAAATTTTATATGTATATAAAAGTTCAATTTAAAAGTTGAAAATAAATTTGTAATAAGCTTAATTAAAACAAAGCCATTTATGTGATCCAATATTGTTAGTAACACGTTGATGTAATTTTTACAAATATAAAGGTTTCAGAGGCAAGGGAGATCTGCTCGCACAAAGTTTTTCATTCTCTTCCAAAATATTTACGTGCCCGTTTTTAGAAGTTCATTAATTATAAAATCGAATTTTTTTGTTTAAGTTAATGTTTGGTTATTTGGTATAATTTATATCATTAAAAGATACAATTCCTGGTAGATTTCAAACGAAAAGAAAATTTTATGTATACAATTTAAGTATAGCGCCTTTCTAATTGCTTATGTCTAAATACGCCTAGTATTAAATAATTTCAAACTGTAAAAATGGTCTTAATCGATAATTGGTTTAGAAAAGAATAATAAAATGTGTTTATTTTTCGTTGTTTGTTATTATTTTTCTATTATATCATATTTTTTGTCCATATTAGACTTGAAAAATATCCTAAGTTATCCAGCGTGTAAATGTTTACGTATTTCATAAAAAATATTTTTGTATGTGGATGTATTTCTTTAAAAACAAAACTTCAGTTGGAGTACACTATGAAAGTAAGACTAACATAACAATGTTATGTTGCTTTTGTTATTTTTGCGATGCAAAGATACACTTTGTTACTAGTCGGTATTAAATAATATATTTGTCACACATACTTCACTCGTAATATAGGAAAAATTGAATTAATTTAAGTTTTCCATGACTAATAAATTTTGAATTTTTTTTATACACAATGAAACTCAGCACAGTGGGGATGTGCTAATTTTTCTTGCTTATATAACTATACTGAATGATTTAAAAATATAAATTAATCTATAAATATAAATAACTATAACGTAAAATTGAAATAAAAAATTTTAAAACACGAATAACGGTGATTTATAATATGAAAATAATATTTTTTGTTTAATTTAAAGGCTGTTTACATAATATGTAAACTTATCTTCTATATTATAGAAGATAAGTCATCAAAATATAACCTCCATCGGTGATTTTATGAAATTTTATCATTTCCTGGGGTTGGAAGTGTTTTACTCTATGAGATTTTTTACTTTATAAAAGTTACTTAAATTTTTTTAATTCGAAAAAAAAAGTAATAAATTGGTAAGAAATATAATTTGTTTTTTGAAAAATCGTGATGTGACAATGTAGTAAATTATTATTAAAACGTCTTAAGTCTAGGTATAGAATATTCAGTGATTCAATATATATGTGTGTGTGGCTATTAATAACTGGGCTTATGTCATAAAACTTTTTATTCGTTACCAATCACATCAGAACCTTTATTGCCTTTGATGTACTCCCTTTCGCGATCCCTATACCGTTCTATACGACATTTCCATTGTTGAAAGCAGTGCTGGAAGTCCGCTTCCGTCAGTTGGTTAAGAATCCCATCTCAATTGCTTTAACCGCTTCCGTACTATAAAATTTGTCCCCCTTTGAACCAATTTGACTTTTGGAAATAAAAAAAAAGTCCGATGAGTACGGTAGATGTTCAAACAAGATGATGTCATATTTTGGAAGAACGCCACGCTGATAAAACAGAATGGGCCTGTGCCGTTGTTTTGATGGAGCATCCAGAACTTGGTATTCTATAAGTTGGGTTTCGCCTTCTCACACGTTTACAAAGGGCCGTCAGAGTCTTAATATAAAAATATTGATTAACCTTCTGCCTCTTGAGACCTAGTGAACGTAAAAAATTCCATAAATATCATAAAAGATCAGTCCGGTTGTTAAATAGTAACACCTCGTATCAGTTTAGAAATATCACACTATAATTGGTTTACCGGGGAATTGCTTGTAACATCAATCGTTGAATCTTTCGTTGAAACATCTGTTTAAATAATGTAATAAATGAGGTTTTATTGGAGGAGGAGAGTTTAAAAGAAGGCGATTAAGCTTGTTTGTTTCTGGATAGCATTAGCTCTTAATGCGACACTGATTAAAAATAAATACAATGAAAATGATTTTTGTTTTTAAGAATGTTTCAATATCGACTGCAGCGTTTGTAATTGTAAACATTTAGTAAGATATACACGAATAAAATGGCTTAATCATTTTTGCTTTAAAATAAATTGAATTGACTTTGATGGTATCCGTTTATTTAATAATTGTATTATTTGTAAATAAATGTTTGCTAGGCGTTATATTATTTATTATCATCATCATCTCCTTTAGCCTCTGTAATATGGATATAAAAAAAGAAAAAAAGTTATTGGTAATAATTCTAATTATTGTTCACGATACCATTATCCTAACTATTTAAGTTTGACTCTATCTTATTACAATATATTCCATAATATTCATTATAGCTGATGAAACAAGTAAAGGGACAAGGTATGTGTCACTGTTAAAGTTCCCGTATGGTCATCCATTCGGACACTAACAGTAAACAGCGCAAAAGTGGCGATTGAGTGATCCACGTCATGTCGACTTATTTTATAAATTAAGTTTTAAAATTTTGTTAGATTTTCTAATAGTTAATTGGAGAAAAATGTTTGAATTATTAGAAAAATACTACTTTTGTATGTTTCAGAAATATCTGAATAATAAATTTATTATGGTATAGCTAAATTTATTGTAGTTACTTTATTACGTTATTTCATAATTAAGGGCTCTCGTCCAAATCGTTACTATTACAAAGGTTGTTAATCTGGCGAACAATCAAGCAATTGTTTTTAACATAAGCTATTAAATAAGCCGTGGCTCTATGATCCACATCTTAACACACATAATTTCCTAAAAAAATGTTCACCTTATAACATAATACTTAGAGCATATGGACATGAGACCAAAAATAGCTCTCAAGTTATAATATTTTCACAATTAAATTTAACATTTATTGCCTCTATAACGACAATAAATTGTAATTAGATTTCAGTGTTAATGTGGGTTTTTAGTTTAAAATTAGTTCCAAGGAGAAAATGAAAGATAAGGTTTTTTTAGGTTTATTTACAATTTAGTCGTATGGATCATATAATATAATTATAATAAATCTATTGAACTGAATTTAAGTCCTGGCCTACAAAAAATAAAATTTATAAAATGATGTATGTATTTAATTTATTTATTTAAAATGAATTATATTACCTGAAACACTATTTTGTATAATTAATTACATATGATACAAGTTAATATGCTACTAGTTATATTATAATTTTTTAAAATGCTTAGTAGTTTTTCTTCTATTTTTTTATATCATTGTACATAACTTAAATTAATAATATATAATGAACAGCGTTTAAAAAATCTGTTACGTTTGAATAGCCCAAATGCAAATGATGAATTAAACGGGGACAATTTAAAAATAAAATTCTATAAATATTTAATTTTAGCTTGTGCTCTATTAAATTGGAGGTATTCCTAATATTGAAACCATAGACCTTGAAATATAAGTGACTATCCCCGTCCATTGAGCTGCAAGTTTACAAACCAAATTGCCATAAAATTAAGTGTCAAGTTTTGATAACGACCTTCAATTTCCACATACAATATATATAATGGGAGTTTAAAATTCAATTCTATCTTTTAAAGCGTAAGATAGTCGGACACAATCACTTTAAATATATATATATAGATGCACCTTGTTATTTATTTTTTATAAAATATATTAAAATAGCGTAATTATAAATTTTTTTTTTTTTGTCAATTCAATGAAATTTAAGCTTGATAAGTATAGAAAATAAATTTTGATCACTTACTATAAGATTTGTTTAAAAAAGACTGAACTGGACTGTAGGATTATTTAAGAATCCAATTAGCAATTCATTGGTTGTTTCTTTTATAACTAAAATAGAGTTTTTATAAATTTGAAATATACTTACTATTTTATACAAAATTTCCTAACACACACTACCACGATATCTCTAACATTTCTGATGAATTAGGATCATTGTTATAAAACAATTGGAATGTACATCTTATTTAGATTATAAATTAATAAATCAATCCAGTAACTAACTTTAACTGGTTTCTATGAAAATACTTGTTTTTATAAACAAATAGGAGTCGAAAAAATCTTGAGACAGATATGTACGCGCCAAAGATATAGGTAGAAGTGATGTAATAAAATGTCATAAGAAGTGCAACACTTTCTTCCACTTTATTATAAAAAAATAATTAGGTTTTATTTACTTAATTAATATTATAAAAAATTTAATTGTGTAAGACTATTTTGAACCTTGTAGAAGAATTATCCACAAAATAAATTTTCAGATTTTCAAAGATCAACCAGTTATCAAATCAAAAAGTTATCGTATCATAAAGAAATGTGGTGAAGGCAAGAAATCTAAAATTAAACAAAAAAGTGGTCACATATTTTGTTTAATAACATAACAAGAAAAAATCACTTTCAAACGCAAACATTGGTGAATAAACATAATGATTATCTTGAAAATTTGATGTTTCACATTTAGCGTTGTACTGCTTATTCAAGGATATAGTTACATTATCCTAGTATTATGAATTTTAGTTAATCAATAATCTATGTCATTTTGAAAATTTGACAAAATTTTAATGATACCTTATTATTAGTTATTCATGTAGACAAGAGTTTAGCTCTTAAAATGATAAAAAGGTTCTTCTGAAAAAATAATAACTTCCAATTAACTTCGTTAATAAACTTAATTTAAAAACAAAAATATACAGAATGGCCACCATAATATAAATCCAATAAATTTTGATCCACTAAATATTTTTTGTTAGTCTTTTTTAAAAACTTTTCAAAGCAAGACTATAATGATATCATAAAAAAATATTATCATCATCATCAACTTCTAATAAAGGCAATGTCTAGTCGGTGAGCTACTCTTCTCTGTTTGACGTCAAATTCTTCAGTGAAACATAAGACGCACAGTTCATGAGTTCCAACATATGTTCAAAATATTGTTTTCCAGGACGTCCTCTTGGTTTTTCCCCAGTTAATTTAGATCCTTCGATTCATCCTTCGAAGATGTTGATTATAAAGACATTGTGTCGGATTATGTGTTCGATTAACTTTACTTTTCTTGATTCAATCACCTTCATTAGCTGTCTTTCTAAGTTTAAAAAAAATATTACTTTTTTTTTTTATCAAAAAATTTAAATATTTTTAATGTATTATGTAAAAATAATTTGGTAGAAAAATATCATCCTAATATTTTATGGTTAAATTTCTAGAAAATATTAAAATGTGTAAAAATTTAAATTTTTTCGTGTTTATTTTACGATATTTTGTTTCAAACCTTAGTGTTTGCTTATCAAAAAAGTATGAAATATAATAAGTGGATCAAAAAGTTATAATATTTGTCTAAACATGGTAGGACATTCTGTTTATAAATTAATATTGAAAGGAAAAAAAGTTTTAAGGCTTATTAATATTTTTTTTGTATTTCAAACTCTTTTCTGTTGTTTTCATATTTGAGTTAACTATTAATAAATTACAATTTTTTAGGATTGATGCATGTTAAAACAGAGTTTGCTTGATTTTTATTATAATGTGCTATTATATGGTAATTTTTTATTCTTAATAATCTTAGTATTGATTTTTAATTTTTTGATTATTTACATCATTAAATATTATACTTTTGTAGTCTATTTAAAAGTATTATTTTTGAATAAGCCAGTCGAACAAACTATCATAATATAAACTTCTAATTATTATTTATACTTAATAAACTAAAAAATATTTATGACTAAAGTTTTTTAAACTCGTAAAAGTTTTAAGTTTTGGTAAAAGGTATTTTTTGAAAACATCACTAATTACCCATGAAACAAATTTTATTTTTATTTTGCTTATTAGACAATGAAACGCTTAAAGAATATTATATTAATAATATTGTATTAAAAAAAAAGTGAATATGTAAGTCAGAAAAAACTATGAAAGATTTGATTTTACGTGATAACTAAACTATATAAGTAAATTACTTTGATGGGATGCATGACTAAGGCTTAAAATATACTATTAAACATTTTTTGGAAAAAATTTTTGATAAAAAAAATTTTATTTTCAAAGTTAAAATCTAGAAATAATTGTTGTTTTTTCTAAAACCATATTTATAATGAACAGGTTAGTATCAAACGTTTTTAATAATTATATTGTAAATTTGTTATTGGAACACCATTTCAATTTGAAAGTTAACTTACTGTAATATATTATTCTGATTGTTAAACTAATTATAATTAGTTAAACTTTCAGAATTCAAAAGGTGAATCGAGGTTGCTGCTATTTTTATCATTAGTAATTTCTCGGCTGTAATCCTCTCGCCTAGATATAAAAATACTACTAATTTCTTAAATATTGGTTCAAAAATTGTTATCTATTAGTCATTTTTTAAATTATTTATTTATTTGTATGTCTTTTCCACTGTATTATTTGCTAACGTTACTTAAGAGTAAAGTAAAACAATGTAATTATTCATATCAAAAGTTCATTTTCATTTAGTTTTGGTAATAAATATCAGCAACTTTATTTTAGTGATTAAATAAACACATGACTAAGTATAGTGAATTATAAATCATCATATCAAAACACAAACTAATGACTTGCTGATGTTTTAAATATGCATGAGGACCTGTCTTTGAATTGGTCGTTAATTTAAATAACACATTTAAGAGATCAAAGAAATCTCGTAGGTTATTTAAAATAAATATATCTTAGGCGAATGGATTCAATCAGAATAATTTTTGAATTCTAGTAGAATCATTCAACCAAACAGTAGCTTTTTCTTATAACTGTATAAAGTATAACAATATTAAAATCCTGCAATTTTGATTTTTGATTTTAATATGTTCAATTAATCTTATATTATTTTAAAAATTATAATAAAATTTTAAAATTTAAATTCTCAAATTTTACTTTTTTTATCTAAAGGATAGAAGTGAATAATAATAACATTATCATTTACTTATAATATATTATGTTGGCATATTTCAATTTTGAATGTACATTAATCAATATATAATTTTTTATTGTGTAATTTTTACAATATTTAATAATTCGAGTTATTAAAAATCAATTTTTTAATCTTATTATATATATATATAATAATTATGTCATGTGAATTGATATTCTCGTTTTTTCTTTAATTCTAGTGGAATTTATATTATTTAATAAGTTACTAGTAACATAAGATATTTTCATAAAATCCTCAATTATCAGAAAAATAAAATGTATTTTGCTTTCAATTAAAATTCGATAAGAATTTAATTAATGAAAAAAAGGATCATATTTATTTATTAATTTGGAAATGTAATAATTTGTTGAAACTATAAAATAAGAAGTATTAAAAGAGCCTTAGTAATAACTTGTAATTTGAATTATACCATTTTTTGATAATCAGAAAGTTTTAAAATAATGATTCTTTTAACCAATTCATGAATTTCGTACTATAGAAGTGAATTATTTAATAACAATTTATTAAGTGCAAATATTTTTATACTCAAACAAATATGTACTCTTTAACTTTCCTCTTATACAACCATATTAATGTATTTTTCTAGATTTTTCTTATTGCAATTGTGTTTTTTTTTAAATACTAAAAAAGTAATTTTTAAAAAAACTTATTTTTTTAACTTAAAGATAATGGCATAGATATACTGAAACAAGTATTTTATACACTAAAAAAATTTCTTAGTAAAATCAACACATTTTTATCAATAATATTTTTGTTAAATAAATGGTATCTTTATTATTAGTTGAATCATTTTTTTTTTTTTTGAGAAATATTTTCTGTGTACTATAAAAACTTTTTGTAGTTTAATTTGATTCTTACTTAAGTAATTTAAAACTTTGTAAAGCAGTAATTATACATTTTTATACAGATGTTTTTTGCATTTAAGTTAAAGAGCGATTATAAGAAGAAAATAACTAATCTTTTGTTTTTGTTAGGCTTATGAAATTATCATAATATTCACGCGGCATAAACACCATTTAGAGCGTTGGTCAATCTAAATGTAATTTTGTATAGTTAAACCTAATCCTTATGCCGACATTTTTGTTACATACCAGTTGACGTGATCAAAATAGCTTTATCTCTAATTAAATTAGTTCACCGTAAATACCAAAACTACGTATTCACATATAAATGATAAAACACATTGCGATTGTAAATATTTCAAATAAAAAGTGAACCAGAATATTGTTCCTAATTTGATTTCATCGATACAAAAATAATTGTAAAAATTGAATAATTATAAAGAGCATTATTAAACGCTTAAGTTCGTTTATTATTTTGATATTTAGTCAGTAATAAATCAAAAAATTTAATTTTATCTAAATTTGTTAAGATTTATCTATTAATAGAATCATTTTGAAATGAAACCAAAAAAAAATTCATGCAATTTAAGTAACTAGAAAATCAAATACAGTTTTAACTTTTTATCTAGTGAAATTTACTTTAAGACATTAAAGATGTTTGAGTAAAAATCGCATATTAGACAATCACTATTCTTTTGATTTTTACTGGAAAATAAAGATTGTAAAACAAGCAATGTAATTTATATAAATAGTTTTTTAAACTATGTATCTCTAATATATAGATCTCTAAATTTAAAGAATTGAAAAAAATGCTTAAATTTTAAGTAATTTGAATATTTTACCAAAATAAATGTATAATATATTTATTGAGTATTATTTACTAAAACATTCAATAGATGCGCCAAATAGATTTGTTTGTTATTCATTAAGATTTCAATACTTAATATATATTTATTAATATGTTATTTTAGATAAATCGCTTTAAAACAGTGCAGGGCTGCGAGTTTATCGCCATGTTGCGCTTCGAAGCATGTATGTCATCTTCCCGGCGGACGAAGTCGTACAGCTGTCATTTGGTCAACCTGCATCACGACAGCACCAACAGCAGCAGTCTGGTCAACGTTGCCTTTGCGGCCAACACCGTACTGTCCGAAGTAAGTTGTCTTAAATTGGATAATGTCTACAGATTTAGATTTCAAGGTTTCAAAGTTCATTAGATTTCAAGTTCATTAACACGAATCATAATGCATCTAAGATTTTCCTTGCCAGTTATTCTAAGACTACCTGATTATCCTATCGAGATTTATTTTGTCATACATTACTTTTTTGTGAAACTTAAATTTTTGAATCCATTATTTAAATCATAGAATTACGACCTAGTGTCCAACTTTTTATATCAAATGAAAAGACAATTATTGAGTTAAGTGTTATCAAATTAATTACTTTGAAAGTTTTCTTTTTATTTGACCAGTCCTATGATTCATTTTGATTTAAAGTTTTATTTGACGTAAACAATTTCAAATTTTAAGTATATAGTTTTTCTTAGATCTTGCTGACTGTATACTAGCAATAATAATTTTTGAATTCCAAGAAATTCAATCTGTGAAATATTTCAGCAGAATATAATGCACGACTTTTAAACGTTTGACTTTTAAGATTCCTGTGTTTAAAAATTACGATGTATGTAGTATTTAGATACTTACATTCAGCATGATTTAATTTCCATGGTCTCATGAAAAATTGGATAGTGTATAAACATCAGTCCTGTGTACTATATTTCGTTGTAACATTGTATTTAACAGACGATCTATACTCAATTGTAAACATTTTACCTGTGAATATATATGTATCAGTGAACTAACTATCCTGCATGAGTTACTAACATTAATGACCCTGCACGTGTAGTTATTTCATCAATTTCTATTTAAGTATGTCAAAGTGTGCTTAAGCTAAAAGCAAGTACTTATACTATTAAGTTTATATAAACATTTTACAACAATGTATTTTTGTATGATCATTAAGTATTTTAGATATAATCCAAAATGTATTGACTTTGGATGTTTCTATTAAAATTTGATTTATTTTTACTTTGAATAGATATTATAAATTAATGTAACTTAGTGATACTTAAAAAAATTAACACAGTTTTTCTGGATATTAATCACATAATTGTTATGAATTAAGATTTATATAATGTTTTTCATTACAGTTTTATTTTTATGAAATACTATGTATAGTTTTTACAGTACTTAAAAATAACAAAGTTAACAGTATTTGTACGTTTGATTTTGCTGCATTCCGAAAAACATTTATGGAATTAAATGTTAAATACAAAAGTAATTTAACAATATAATTAGTGTGAAACAATATGATCCGTCATCAGTTATCATGTTAACAGTCAAATTTTGTAAAAATGAATGCGAGTTTTATGACTTTACGATCGGGCTATAGCCCAATTGAACAATTGTTAAATAAATGTATTAACTTATAAATGTTAATTTCAAATTTTAGGAGGACTGACTAGTTTTATGGGTATTAATTAACTTAAAGTATCATTTCAGTTATTATGTAAAATAATATATTAATTTTCATCCGTAGAAGCATGAGAGTTAATTAATTTTTATCCAAAATGAAAAAAATAATGGGAAGGCGCTTTTTGAACATGATTATAAAAATTTTCCTTTCAGAGTTGTAACCACTGCATAAAAATATTGAATTACATTATTCGAAAAACATTATTTTTAGTTTATAATTATTTAAAATACAATTAAGAAGTATTGAAAGAATGCGTAAGCAATTTATTAAGAAGAGAACTTAGCGTGGAAGAGGTGGATTTGAAAGAATTTATTGACAAAAATACCAATGCAAGCAAGAAGATATAATTTCGAATTACACGGAGAATTGTACAATAGATGATGTGACCATCAATTTTAAACAATAATGTAGAATAGGATTTTATGAGATATTCAGAGTGATTTCATTTAATAAACTACTTAATAAACAAGTAAAAATAATGTTAAGAATTTTTTTTTGGTATTTCTTAGGTAAATTTTTTTTTTAATTTATCATAAAATATTTTTTAAAAGATTTAACGATAAATCGATTACCCTGTGTTGATAACATTATTTATGTAGATTTATAATTATATTTTTAGCTAGTTAAAATCTAAATAACTTAAATTTTGCTTGTATGTTCATGGCTATTTTCTATTATAAGACAATATGCATGGTTGCACAAGTCTGGAAAATGAATAAGTCAGGGGGTTTTCAAAAGGGTAAGGAAAATAATGGAAACATGAGAAAATTATATCATTTTTCTTATTTTTCTAAAAATCTATTAAATCTATCATACATTTCAAATTAGTTTCAACTTTAATGGTTATGTTAGTTAATTTTCAACAATCCTTAGTTGAAACTAACTTCTATAGCTAACCCCCTTAATTGATTTTATGTAAATGTCAGCAAACATATTAGAGGGTAATGATAATGATATCAGACATTTCAGCATAAGTATTTAATATTTACACCTTTTAAGCAAAATATGGAATTTTTTTAAACTGCCTGAAAAATGATAGAAACGTAAGGGAATTTGACAATTTTAAATGTATGACAACTATGTAAAAATATACTTGAAACCATATGTCGTAATATGCACGTCACTGTCATAATATGGAATAACAGTAGTCTGCTCTGTGTTCACGATAATGGTCTTTAATTTAATCTTTTAATCTAAGATAATCAAAACTTCTATTTATAAATTATATTCATATTCTTAGAACAATAAATTTTTTACCAACCAAAAAAAAAATTAAATAAATAACTTATACATATATAACAAACACATTATTTTGTATAAATTTATATTAATTGAGTTTCTTTTTTTACTCTTATCTTAATAATTAAACGCAATATGTCAATCCTAATATTCAATTAAAAAAAACCGGTAATAACGTATTATAAAATATCAAAATGATGTGTATATAATACACATATATTAATTTATATATTTTATGTTTAATTATCAATAAACAATAACATTGCAAAATGAGATAATGATTATTGTACACATAAACAGAGCAGCCTTCTGTTATTTATTATTATGATAGTGACGAGTATATTACGACACATATACTTGAATGTATACTATTCATTTAAGTATTTTGGTTTAGAATACAATAAGTTTAGTTGATATGTAATATCTACAATTGCTTTAAGTATTTCATTTGTTCGTAGTTTGGTGTAATTGTTGTAGATAAAAACACTAACTTTTAATCTTTGGCCAGTTATACAAAAACAATTTACAAATAGAAACTGTAACTATAGAAGAAAGATAACAATGTAACTTTTTTCATTCTGAAACAAAATTACTAAATTATAATAAGGCGCGTTAAATAGTTTTTGTAATATGGACAGTTGGCTAAAGTTTAAAAAAATTCCCTTGGCAATACAGATGTAGATAGTTAAATAGCAAATGTGATATTATAGCACAACGTTTACATTTTAAAACTATTTTTTACAATTAATCATATTTTATATTAATCATAATCTTTATCAAATGTTTAATAAAAAAAATTCTTTTTAATAAAAAATTTTTAATTAAATTTTTTAGATATTTTCACAGGCGCGACTGTTATACAATTCTAGTGTATGCTATATTAATTTTTCTCCTGCTCTATAACATGTTTTATATAATAATATATTAATTATTGAAGTTCCTGGAGTTAATTTTTGCCTAAGAAGGATAGGGGGCTTAACCTTCTTATTTGCGCCTATGTTTGTTGATTAAAAACGTGAACTCATTTAGAAATAAAATGTAAAAAAATTAATTAAACAGTTGTTAGTTGCTAATTATTAAATACAAACAATTGTAATTTATTTTAAATTAATTTTTATAAGAAAATTTTTAATTTAGCTTCGATGCGAAACTGAAAAGGAATTAATTTTACTATGATGTGTTTTTTTTAGCTTTGATGCAAAGCTAAGAATATTTTAAAATTTTTTTTTTGTGTCTCTTACCACTTTTTCTCAGCTTAAATCGAACCGATTTCTTTCAACGATACGTCAAAAGATCACAAATCTTATCTAGTCAAAGACATTACACGAGGAAATCTCTAAAAAAATTACAAATTTAAAAGTTGCTATTTTTCAAAATTTTTTCAATTGTTTTTACTTAAATCTGCCATAACTTTTTCAAAAATGACCAAATCAATATAATTTTTTATATGCATGTACCTATCATTTGAAATATTTATTTTATAAATTGGACCCTTTACCTGCTCACAGGGGAGGATTCAAAATGACAACTTTTTACAAAAAATTAACTTTTTCAACTGAACTTTCGGAAATACTGACTCTTTTATATATACCATAAATTAAAGCTTATGTAATATAATTTATTATGAAAAAAAACAAATTTTGGACTATATTTTGTCTACACGGTGAAAATGTCTACTGTATGCTATTTTTTATGTTAAATTTCTCGATATTATATTTTACATTTTTAACTTTAAAATGCTATAACTTTTTGAAAGATGTATGGATCATTATAATTTTGTTATGATAAATACTTTTTATTCGACTTTTTTTTTTTTAATAAAACCATATCCTTATATATACAGGGTGATTTTTTTATCATAACCCACTAAATAACTTACATAATAATAATAATTAAAAAAATTTTTTTTATTACTATCTTTAGTTACACATTATTCTTGAATTATTAACTATGTAATACTTTTTAATTTCATCCCTTATGCCTGGTAAGGGTGTCAACTTTGTTTTTTTAAATGGTAACACATATTTTTAATTTAATAAAATGTTTGAGTTTTTAATTCAATAGTAAATGGCATTTGAATTTTTAATAAAACTTAATTTGTTTATTAGATATAAACATTTAAAGTTTCAAATTTTTGAGTTAATATATAGGTATAATACACAAAGGATTACAAATACAGGTAGCTAATTGATTTTTTATGACATCGATATTAGCAGGTACACAGCATTGTTATTATCAATGATAGTAAGGTACATTGTTGTGAGTTTATAAATACACTAACTGACAATACAAAAAGTATATCTATTGATAGTCATAATTGATAATAAACAATCCGTGACTGTGATAGCAATATCATAAAAAACTAATTAGCTACCTGTTTTTGTAAACCCTTGTGTATTATACCTATATATTAACTCAAAAATTTGAAACTTTAAATGTTTATATCTAATAATTAAATTAAGTTTTATTAAAAATTCAAATGCCATTTATTATTGAATTAAAAACTCAAACATTTTATTAAATTAAAAATATGTGTTACCATTTAAAAGAACAAAGTTGGCACCCTTACCAGGTATAAAGGGTGAATTTAAAAAGTATTACATTATTTTTAAGTTATTCTATAAGTAATTGAGTGGGTTATGATAAAAAAATCACCCTGTATATATATATATTTATATTTATATATTACACTTATAAATCATAAAACTTGTAATTAGGATAAATAAGGAAATAGGAGATCATGTAGCTTTTGGAATAATCCACCAATTTTTTAAAATTATTAAAAACTATAGATTTGCATCGAAGCGTTTTTTATGATAGTGAGTTTAACAACTTTCAGGCATCATTATACTTGACTCAACTATGCCACGTCTCCACTGTGCTACGACCCCACTGGGCTGGATTTTTTTTTACTGTAATTAGTTACAGTAAATAAAATGATCAGCAAGCAGCAAAAAAATAAATATTTAAAATCATCTATAAATCTTTAAATATTTTTAATTTATTTAATAACTAAAAATTATTTATTAGTTATGGATGGCGGTGGAAGACGCTTAAGTAGCAAATTCGCTAGTTCCATGTCCTCAGCGATGGGTGACGACCTTTCGCTAAAGGACCTGACGCATCCGGCGTTGAATGATATTCTGAAGACACATAATGCTGCCACATTCAAGCTTGTCAAAACAGGTATGTTCATATTATAAAAAAACGTAGAGCATTATGTTATAAAGATAAGTACTATCTCACAAAGTCAAAAAGTATTTTTAGACAAATAAGTATATATAATATTGAAGTTATGTGTTACTTGAATGTGTGAATTCATTAATATCCTAAGCCTCTATACCAATTGTTGGGGTCGGTTTTACCTTACAATAATTTGACAGGTTTTGTTGTTAACATGACGCAACCTCATTATAGTTGAAGTAGCTACTAAGAGGTAAGGCGCGTGTCATTGTTTAAGTTCTCGTATGGTCACCCATCTGAGAACCAACAGTAAACAACGTTATGGCGATGACTGACTGAATGATCAGTTGCGCCACACTTGCCCCCCCTGTATGAAGGAATATCAGTTAATGGTCTTATACCACGATATAACAAAACAATTTATGATATTTTTAGTATAAGTAATGTAACGTTTTATTTTTTAAATCTACAAGTCTGTTAAACTTTCTTAAAAACTTTATAAAATATTCAAATACATATTACGACTCTACTATAGAATATCGATATGTACGAGTTATTTTAAGTGCATGCTGAAATATAATTAACAGGAAAATTGATGGTAGATAGTGCAATGAAAATTTTATGAAGTAAATCATGTGAACCAAAAAAGTTTTATTTTACCTGCGCCATAACACCTTTTTGCTCTAATGTTTTATGTATATTTGTACAAGTTGACGTAACAGGACAGTGGATTCTGTGTTACACCCTGCGTTATTGTTAAACCTTATGATGATGTCATAGTAACGGTTGCCATGCCGTTATAGTTTATACTCATGATACGGTGATTGTGTCTAATACAAATAAAACATTAATTTTTTTTTATTGTAAAAAAATAAAATATATCATTTTCAATTTTTCTAGTACTATTAACATCTTTAAAATAGAGAATTTAAATTTTGTCCTGAAGTAACTAAAATATTCAAAGGTTACTTAGCGAATAAGAAGCATCTAAGTTAAAAAAAAATCATTGACCTTGTTTTGCTATCCAATATAATCAAATGGCGATTTTGATTTAATTTAATTTTTACTGTTTATTAATAAACTGTCGTGCTGAAAAAAGTACTATAGATTACGCATTCTTTGGTTGCGAGCAATTACCGGTAGATAACAAAACAAGGACTAAGAATAGAAGGGATGAGTTCGATTAGGTGTTATGCAGACAGGTTGAGTGACAAATTGAAAGCCGATGCCGAGAAGGGTTTGGTCTGATGATTAATGATCGCGGCTGACACTAATGAATTTATCATTACCTACGTGTATAAGTTAGATTTTGTATTTATTTCAGCAACATATTTTTATTAAATATTAAATTTGTAAAATAATTTTAATAAACAGTATAAATTTTATTCAAATTGTTCAGTAAGCAAGGAAATAAGTCAATTGTTATAAGCAATGAGAACAAAGGAAATCCGTTTCCTTACTTATTAAACACTCTACATAATATTATTTTATACACTAAACGCCGTCTCATACTATAAGATAATTATTTTGCATTTAGTAAACTTCTATAAGTAGTTTAATATTATTTAAAGTTACATAGATCTTTTATTGGTATATCTTTGTTTATTACACTTTAATTAATCCAAAAATTCAGATATTTAAGATTACAAATTGTATTATTATCCTCTATTCAAATAAAATATATATAGAGAAATAAAAGAATATCAATTAACTAAGTAAATGAAAATACTGAACTGTACACTCCAAAACTTTGGTAGTGACTTTAAAAGATAACAAAAGTTTTACTGCACCAAAGATGTATGAATGTTTCAATTAATGTGTTCAATGTAATTATTCTATCTCAATTTAGAGTAGACTTTACCTACGACACGTCAAAACTATAAGTTTTATAAGTAGGTGTCAGCTAAAGTCTTAAGTGTCATTTACTCATGACTTTAGTTTACTATGATTTTCAATTATGGTTTCATGACAAATACTTGTGCTAAAAAAGTTTTTGTCTATTTAAAAAATTAACAAAATAGAGATCTTTAAAAATGTACTTGTGATTATTAAGTAAAGAAGATAAAATATAAAAAAAACATTATTATCTTTAAATATTTACTAATATTTACATCATGAATATTTTTCATTTATTATTTTATGAAACATGTAGTAATATAAATAGTGTTATTTATATTGCTGCTGAGCTAAAATTTAATAATTAAAATGGCTAAGTAAAAAATATATAATGTTTTTAATATTTAATCAACCAGTGTTAATTTTGTTTGAGTGGGATGGATTTTGCGGCAAATATAATTATATATCTATTCATAATTTCATACTACGAGTAAGTTATAAGCATTAATTAAATAAATTGGGAAGAGTACAATTAATATTTCTTCCTTTAGTAAGTTATATTTCATTAAGGTTTATCTAAAATTATTAATTGAATACCCTTAACGGAATTATTTTTAAAATTTTAATGCATAGGTACCATAATGTAATGGGTTTGTTGTTTTTTACAAATTAAAAGAATAATATGAAAAATACTCACTCAATATAATTAAAGTATTTTTATTTCTCGTCTAATTAATAAAAAATATTAAAATCCTCTCTATTTGATCAAAGTATTAAAATATAAATAAAATATTTATATATGAAATAATAATAATTTAAAATTAAAAATATAATAAATATTTTACACAAAAAGCCACAAAAAAAAAAAAATAAATAAATAATAGATACTTATTCCAGAACAATGTTACCATTATCAACTTTAAATACATACTGAAACCCCGATCAGAAAAAAAGATCCCTTATATACCCTTAGTGACCTTATTACTGAGTAATATTATCACATTTTTCCACTTTACTCAAATTTAATAATAGATTATTCTTAATCTATTAATTAAATTGTTATTATTTTTTATCATTTCTATTAACTCCTTTATAGTATGTTATTTATAATTATTTACAATATAAATTAGTTTTATGGTCTTAATGAAGTGTTTATGTGTTAATAAAAATATAGCTACAGAAAATTTATAAACTTCTTAATTTTTAATGTTTCTTAGGTGTTCTTTAAATAAAACCCCTATATTTATTTTTGTTACATGTTAAAAAACGTGTCAGAATTTTTTTTTTTTTAATTTTAATTTTTCTTATCTAAATGTAAGAAATTTGTAAAAGCAAAAAAAAAATTTCCATGTGGGTTCTTTTGTAACTGGACAATTTATATTTCATTCATTTTTTTTAATGTTATATATTATAATCAATAACAAAAATAAAAAATATGATTATTCCAATTCTATGGTTTCCAATATTCTAAAGGTTATTGCTTCAAATAGAAAATTTTCTTCTTCATAAATTCATTATACGTAATAATGAAATGTTCATTTATAAATTGTGAAGTTAAAAATGTCTCGAAAATATTATAACACTTAAGAAATTGTCTGATTGACGACTATAGGATTTTACAAAGAAACTTTTTTACTTCAATTTTTCATAACTTTTTCTACCCGCCTTATTCTTGAGACAAATCATAAATCATTTCAACCATCCTAGTACCACTGGTCGAAAAGTTTTAGTGACTTTGGTCATTAGGTATAGAAGTGTATGCTCATAGTTCTAAGAAAATAATTTGAACAATATTTGTGTTCCTAGAAGTATACGTTATTTTTAAACGTTTAATACAGATAAAAAATAATCAAACTTTATTCTTAATTTTTTCATGTTTGTATTATTATGTCAATGAAAAAGAAAAAGGATTATTATTTATGTTTTTGAAAGACGACTTACTATTGATGGAAATTTATTATTAACCATTGTAGTTTAACATATAAATATATTAAATAAATGAAAATTTAATTTAGTTTTACTTATTCTTACACAAAAGCAATTTATTGACGAAACTTATTTGCTTGATTTACATTTGCTAATCATTATTTTCATAAATGCATTTTCATATTCTAAAAATAGCTAACATATTCTTTATCTTAACTATCAAGCTAATCGCATGATGATTTTTTAATTAGTATTCATTTTTAATAAATAACTTTGTGATTGTAATATTCTCTGCTTAGATTTGTAGACTACTATATTATATAGTATTGAAATTAATGACAATATCCGCCGATCGGATGAAAATGGCTGAATTAAATTTCCGAAAAATTCTTTGGCGTCATTTGGATACCGATTAACTTAGAAAGGCGTCTATTTTACACGCAGCTAAGTTGAGTTATTGGACGCACAAGTAGATCAATAGAAACTTTAAAGGGAAAAACATTCCTCTAACAGAGACGTTATACTCATACAATTTTTGCAAGATTCAGTATTTTCACGCTTTACGGCCATTAAGTTTATGTGAGGTTAAGTCTATTATAAATGAACTTTTTAAAGAAAAATATGTTAATATAAATGAATTAGGAATGGAAAAAAAAGTTTGTGCGTTACTTAAATTTTGACAATATTGATATCAATTATCGTGTACATTATTATGTTAAACTAGTAAACAATAACGTATATTTTATACAGATGAGTTTAGGTAATATAAAAAACAATCAATTTTCATTAAAATTTTCTTAATTTTTTAGTATATGTATTTGCAATTTTGTTTTAAGAAACATCGTTACTAAGAATACTAATGTAACTCAATCGATATTTTTGAAATGTTATTCCAATTAATTTAAATCGAATAAATCAAATTTTAGTAAAAAAATTTACAGAATTTTTGAAGGTAGGTGTATATTTCAAATACTTTTTTCAATATACTTCATATATAATACATTAGAAAATATTTTTGTTTAAATTTAAAACTATGTCAACTACAAAAGAATTCAGGTTCAATTTCGCGTTTCAAAAAATTAGAATTTGTCAGTTTAAAAATTAATAACCCAATAAAATGATAGTAATTAACTAATAAGACCTTCCTAGCTCAGTCAGTAATGTGTTGTAAGTTATCAATGAATAGTTTTTGGAGAGAATGTTAAATATAAAATAAATATTAATATTAATAACATTCAAACATTTGTACTGAAACAAATATTGTTAGGAAGACCTATTTTTCAAATTTGTGTAAAAAAGTTAGCTATTTGCGGTAAAAATACCATTTTAGTTATATTAGCGAATTCGAGTTTTCAAAATTATCCTAATAACATAAACATTGTTAATATGGGTGTTTATTTGACAAGAGTTTTTTGGTTTCTTAAGGTACATGGTTTTTTTAATTTATCAATTATAAAGTACTTTTGTGTTTTTTCCTTGTAACATAAATTAGCGTCACAATTATTTTTTCAAATGTCAAAATACATAATTAATTAGTTTATTTCATAGATAATGGTCTAATCAAGAAAATATCTAGTCGATAACAACTAGTCATTTCCCTGTACTCTTCTTCCCGCCTAGGTATAAAAATACCAAAAACTTTTAAAAAATCGGTTTAAAAGTTATTATTGACCCTTTTATAATATGCACCTAAAAAACTAACTAAGAAATTCTCAATATTATTTAAATTTTTATTAATTAAACAGTTCATGGTTAATATCATGAAAACCTAGATCAATCAAAGAACAGTTGCTAATATTGAGTGCGTTATAGAAATTTAAAAAACAAAACATTAACTACTAAATAATGAATTATGGAAAAGAGTGCGGATCACTACCGATATGACAGCTATTTAGCGCGAGTATCTCAATGAAGTAAGGGCTCTACTGTAAGAAAGAAGGTGAAAAAGGTTGGTTCATAATATTCATTTGTGGAAATACTCTTGTTTAAAAAAACTAAACTATCATTCCAAATACTGTAAATAGGTTAAGACTAGTAATATTGTAAATAATCATTTAAATAAACTTCTTACTTTACATTATCATAATGGTTAGGTTAGCATTAAAATGTTAGGCATTCTAACTAAATTTAATCATTTACATTGTAATTTACCAATTTTGTCATCTAATTATTATATTCTGGCAAAAACTTGTTTAATTAAAAACATTTTAAATTCCGAGTTAGGTTTTAAAATTGATCAAGTATTTAGATGCGATAGTAATATTAGTACTAGTGCCTTGTATAGAGTAAGTAAAGTTATGATGTTTATAAAAAAAATTATTAAGTTTCATGTACTCGAACACTTATCTGGTAATAATGATTTCGTTATTGGAAGTTGTAATATCACTATAATGTTAGTGTGTGTACAAATCATGTTGATACAGTGGATTGGATTGGATTTTGACTAATTATTGTAGGGGAAAATCACAATTAATTTTAGTGGGCAATTACAATTTGCCTAAAATTATTTTTAAAGTGATGAAACTGGTTTGATATATTATAGGCTGTAAAGAAATTATATGATTATATTCATCACTAAATTGAAATTTTTTTTCCTAAGTATATTATCTTTGTAAATAAATATCCTTTGGTTCAAAAAAGAATTATGCAATCTTATTGTGTCCAAAAACAAATTACATAACGAAAATAATTGGTAAATGATCCCAGTATTTATTTAAAATTTTCAGATGCAAGGAAAATAATGTAAATTTCTCTCGCCACAATGTTATGATCGTTACATTGATAAAGTTCAAAATGACTTGTTAAACTCTCCTAGATAATTTTAGAACTTTATTCGTAACTGTAAACTGCCAAATAAGTTACCTAAGTCTATGTCTTATACCAATTAGTAATAATAAAGATATTAGAAATCTATTTGAGAATTTTTTTTCATCAGTGTATAATTCTAATCACGATTAAAATTACCAGTCCCATTATTTATGTGATTCGGTCAATTCAATTAATTTATCATTAATTAATGAATCATTCATTTAAGTATTCGACGACCAGGCAAATATAAGTAAAAATTTCTCCCCGGGTACAGATAAAGTCCAAACAATACTTTTGCTAAATTTCCGTTATGTGCTTGCTGTTTCCATAGACCACCTATTTATCACCAAAATTTGGGTATTTTTTCATATTATTGGAAATTAAGTTTTTTTAACCCAATATATTAAAATATTATAATAATATGGACATTTTGAATTATAGGGCAATCTCATAACTTAGCACAACACCAAAGTTTTTTGAAAAATTAATAAATATTTTAAATTGAAAAAAACATTTAAAACGATTCTTTCTTGCTGAAACGACTTCAGCATGGTTTCCAAATTAATAAATCAACTAACACTAACTTATTAGTTTACTCCACTATTTATACTGACCTTAAAGGTTCTTTGATGCAGTAAATCATAAGCTTATTTCTAAATTATATTTGATATTAATGTAGGTATATAGGTATAAATTGTTCATTGCTGTCATGGTTATCAATATATTTGTCTGATCAAATTAAGGTATCTTCAGTTGTTCCTCGAGGTGAAAATTGGTCACATTTGCTGTTTTTATTATTTATTAACACGTTGATGGACAAAATCATATATTACTATAATAGTAATATATGATATTTCCTGTTTAAAAGTATTAAATTGCCATTCAGTCGTTTGGAATCCTAGCCAAACAGTTTTTAATAAATGATATTAAAAAAATTTAAAACAACTTAAATTTTACTATGTTTAAAATGTCTAAAAAAAATACTCATTGAGCTTTGTAGGGATCTTTAAATCTTAGTCTCTTATCAATTTAATGACTTTTGCATGATGATGTATTTATTTTCAAACTGATTAATGATAAATTTGACTCTTCTAATAATATGTTATTAGAAAAAGTCAATTATAAAGTTTCATATTTTTACTCTTATGATAAATTAGTTTTCCAAATTCCATTCAACCGTCAAAATTATAGCTGTAATAATCCTATTGATTGCATGTTAAATATATGTAATAAATTTCAAAATATCGATTTTTTTATTGATTTAAATACTAATGTATTAATTAATTATGTGAATTAATAGTTGTTTTTAAATTGTCATGTTATTGTATTCGT